CTATTACATACTTATAATTTTCCGTTTTTCAAAACCGTAGAAATCGACAAAATAAAATGGTTCATTTTACAATAAATCAAATATGCCTTGGAATTACCTAAAAAAACAGCGATCACGTTTCATTATTTGCCTTTGACGTATATTAAATTTATACTTGTTTATAAATTAGTTAAAGAACTGCAAGTGCAATAACGTTCAAAATGTCCGTCAAAACCATCAGGAAAACGACAATACATTCAACGTTTTGGCTGCAGTAGCGGAAAATCCGAATATAAGTTTAGGAACAAATCTTCTTCAAATCAGTTTTTTTTCTTCGATTATGTAGGTACTCTGATTCCGGAAAATGATAAACAAATGCAGATGCAGCATACATTCTCTAAAAAAACATTACCCTAAGATGCCTTTTATTGCGTCGGTTAGTCGAAACAGAATTAAATATGAAAATCGTTCGACGTCAAACAACGATAATTTAGATGCGATGCGCTTGTAGTTTGTTAAAAGATTCCAAAGCATAACTGATTTATGTAATTTTTTATTTTGTCGATTTCTACGGTTTTGAAAAACGGAAAATTATAACTAAAAGTATGAACAGATGCAGTATTTTTTTCTCCTTCCTGTACTTTCGCCGTTATTTAGGAAAGAAGTTCTTAAAAATCTCCCATATAAAATATATATTATAACGGTGTTATTTTTCTCGGAAGTATTTTGTGTTGCCTATGCTCTTGTTGTCCACTCTTCTGTCCAGTCGTCCTTGGTTTTGATAAAATTCCTTCGCTTATCTTTTCTTTTCCGGTCACTTTTGAATAAGAGATTGTCGTGTGCATTTGCTACATCTTCATTTTGTGAGAAAATTTTAAGCCTTTAAATTTGGAAGGATCAACTTACTTTGAAGATTCAATTACCTAAATTTATTACCAAAAGGGTGTTTTATTCTTTCCCTTGGGAATATTCTGGGTTTTCGCCAAGCGGATCTGGAAGCACATGTGGCACCGATCATTACTTTGGCTCGTTTAACGCCGTTAGAGGTTCGTACTGCATTCCTTTGCTTTTCCTAATTCAACTTTATTATAGCCTTTTCTTTTGGTGTATCATCTATAACTATAATATACTATACCAGATGGTAACGTAACTCGTGGAAAGTCATTCCGCCACCCCTGGTGCGGACATATCACACCTACCATCAGCTTGATGCCCGGACAGTTATCCTGATTTCCGGATTCCAACTTTGACGACACAGTCGTTGCGGTATCGTTCGTTTGTTCCTGTCACCATCGTTTTCTACGCCGAGCTTCCGACAACCCGGTGGAAGCGGTACGCTTGCCTGCCACCAGGCAACTGAAAGGTTTTATGAAAATATTGTATGCGACTCACTCCAGAAGCCACCCTCGACGTAGATATCCTTGGTAACCTATTTTGTGTTCCTTCTTCCCTGGTTCCGTCCTGAATTTCTTTTTTCTGTCCTATAATTGTTCCAGACATAATTATTTTTCTCCACCATAATCTGAGTATTTACCTATATTCTGTTTGCGACAAAAAGACAATAGAACTGGTCACGTTTTTTTTATATGTAAACGATATTTGTTTTCTTGAAGCTTTAATTTGTTTTGATATTTGACAACCCTTCAGGTGTCAGTATTTGTGAACTATTTCTGGCGCTAGTGCCTACTGTGCATAAGACCTACTATTTTGATAATCTGTAAAGCAGTTATCAAGCTAGCCATTTTTTTGTGTTTATTCCTTAGACCATATAGTACATGGACTGCTATTCGCCTTATGCTTTCAATACAAAATGGATGGTCACGGATAGAGGGCACTGTAGTCGTGGGTATGTGAATCTCAGGGTAAACTAAAGTCGTGTGAACACCACTAGGATCGCTTAAAGAGCAGCATTATAGTAACCGCGTAGTACGGGAAGCTTTAAATGCTCTTCATTATTTGCTATACGTATACGTCCACAAATAAGAATAAGTTTGTTTTTTTGGGATATCTAGGCGATTAATTAATTGACGTTTGTTAATTTATAGGTTGACAGTCTCAAATCGTGTCTCATCGAACAACTTCGGACAGACTCGTTTACCCTGAAACTCACATACCCAGGCGATGTCCTTGACCATATTTTAGTTACAATTAGCAGTCCATGTACTATATGGTCTAAGGTTTAGCTCTTATTCCACTAATAAACAAAGGTGACAGTAAATTTTTGTAGGAGGTTATGTTAACTTCTTCGTCTACTAAAAGGAAATATGCTGGATTTAACGTGTAAATTAATAGAATGTAATAAAAGTAGTACAACAGGTATAATATACAATACAATTTTAGGTTTTGTTTGACTTAAACACCAAATAAGCGACACTTCCATGTGACTGACATTTTAATAACACCACTTTTTGAAGCGTATACAGTCTAAACTTGAATGCATTAGGGAAGAAGGATGTCGTAGAGAAGGTTGCATGTGGCAACAATTTCTTGGTATCGATCACCGAGAGGGGAAACCCGGGCACTTCCTGCATGTTTCATATGAATCGCCGCTTAGCATCCACCGACTAATACGGTCGAGAGGGGAAGGAACATCTTTCGCATTTTCCATGGATCGCAGGTACGTTAGCGATCGCCGCTTAACTTGGAACGCCTTTTTCGTATCGACCACCGCTTAGCATCCACCGCCTAATACGGTCGAGAGGGGAAGGAACATCTCTCGCATTTTCCATGGATCGCAGCTACGTTAGTGATCGCCGCTTAACTTGGAACGCCTTTTTCGTATCGACCGCCGCTTAGCATCCACCGCCTAATACGATCGAGAGGGGAAGGAACATCTCTCGCATTTTCCATGGATCGCAGCTACGTTACCGATCGCCGCTTAACTTGGAACGCCTTTTTCGTATCAATCACCGCTTAGCATCCACCGCCTAATACGGTCGAGAAGGGAAGGAACATCTCTCGCATTCCATGGATCGCCATTAGCGATCGCCGCTTAACTTGGAACGCCTTTTTCGTATCGACCGCCGCTTAGCATCCACCGCCTAATACGGTCGAGAGGGGAAGGAACATCTCTCGCATTTTCCATGGATCGCAGCTACGTTAGGATCGCCGCTTAACTTGGAACGCCTTTTTCGTATCGATCGCCGCTTAGCATCCACCGCCTAATACGGTCGAGAGGGGAAGGAACATCTCTCGCATTTTCCATGGATCGCAGGTACGTTACCGATCGCCGCTTAACTTGGAACGCCTTTTTCGTATCGATCACCGCTTAGCATCCACCGCCTAATACGGTCGAGAGGGGAAGGAACATCGCATTTTCCTCGCATTTTCCATGGATCGCAGGTACGTTACCGATCGCCGCTTAACTTGGAACGCCTTTTTCGTATCGATCACCGCTTAGCATCCACCGCCTAATACGATCGAGAGGGGAAGGAACATCTCTCGCATTTTCCATGGATCGCAGGTACGTTACCGATCGCCGCTTAACTTGGAACGCCTTTTTCGTATCGATCACCGCTTAGCATCCACCGCCTAATACGATCGAGAGGGGAAGGAACATCACTCGCATTTTCCATGAATCGCTGCTTAGCAATGTAGGATGTAGAGAACTACTTATTGTTATTATGGTATAATTAAAAACACATGTATAAAGTTGTATACCATTGTTTAAAGTTAATTAAATCGTGGAAAAATAACATAACCTCTTAAGAAACTAACTAAAGTTGGCACTCAGGAATGTTAAGCACACCAGTACCAACTGAAAAACAATCATGAAATTTGGAGTAATATAACCTAACTTACGACGAAATGAAGTGAACTTTGAATGAAGATTGTGAAAAATGTAAGGCTTCTTCCGCAAATTTTTTAACTGATAACGTGTAATTAAGGTGTCCTCTATCCATTTCTATCAATTTCATGATCATACCTGGGGGGCTTATTAGCGCAACGTAACCCACAAATTGTACGTTTAATGTACCTAACAATAATTAAAGATTAAATGTAATGTAAGACTGTTGATTTTTAAAAAGGCGTCGGTAAGTATTTTTGCTGTTCTGTTTTTAGATCGGTAAGTAATTTTGACGTCGTCGTAATCATAGCAACTGGTAAATTCTACTACTGTCATGGAAACGCCCATGGTAAATAGTCAGAAATGACCGATCGCGCAAAAAATTATATAACTTTGAGAATGACTCCTGGGCTTATACAATCATTTTTTAGCTTGGTTTTGAAAATATAAATTCTACATACATTACTCTAGAGCGACTATATAAGGGTTTTATTAGAAAGACAGTAATTACTACAATATTGCTAAAATAAGAGGGCAAATTTTATTTTTTATTTTAAGCAATTGTTGAATTTTAAAGTACAGTCGCTGTAAAACTGCGCCTCCTCTTTCAATATTGAAAGTTTTGTCATTTAAAATCCAATATTGCGGCCAGGAGTCATTCTCAAAGATTTCATTTTTAAAAAGTTACATCAATCACAATGGCGGCAAGCAGCAGTAGTGCAGCTATTTATTTCTAGATGTCGCTAAGGTACAACTTAACTTGGCGCGCGTCTGTAAAAAATATTAAAGGAACTGCTGCATCCGATTATGATGTCATTGAGTACAATCATTGAATAATAAATCTGAATAGAAAGACAACGCAATGCTTTTTGAAGGGTCCACTTTAACGGAGTTTCTCCGTAGGTTGCCCTCTGGGACAAACTCCGCTTATTAAAAGTAACTAAATTTTAATCGAGGTTTTATACCACCTACTCAACTGAATCAAAGCGATTAGATTTCTTTAGATGACGCTACTTTCGCGTACTTATCTCGTAGACTGCGTGGGCGTTATAGCAGCAGGTGAAGATCGTATTGCAATATTATCTCTGTATTTACAAACTTATGCTTACGTAATACATGTTATTATTTGCACACCTCTTAGGAAATGACGTCAAAGTTATCAACTTACAAGTAAATCTTGATTCCAACGATCTTACCTTATGCAGACTTTAAGATCGAAATTAAACTTTACTATTATTGTACCTACATACAATGTTTTGGGATTATTTCAGAATACGCAATATACTGTCAGTCTCAGTTGTGCGAGCATTTACAGATATTGTTTAATTGCTGTTTCCATATATAAATGCACAAATAACATGTTTTTGAGACAAAATTTGGAATTAAGTACTACTTTAAACAACAACTTTAAAATTCAAATGAGAGAAGTGCAATATAATCTATTATGATGTGAAATGAAAGGTTTTTTAAATCGGCTTCATGAAAGAAATTGTATTGCACTTTTACGAAACGAAGACTCGAAAACGCCATGCCGGCACGTTTGCTTGTAAACCTTTTTCTACGTCTCTCTTGTAACATATTTTTGATATTTTTTAAATATTAATAATTACGGCACCTGAAAATACCATAAATATCAAGTACTTCTACAATTATTTATGCAAGATTCGAGTATTAAATCAAAAATCTGTTACAATAGAGGCATAGATGTGTCCTTTATCTTTACATCGGCACCTAACAACACGGTATAGAATCCAATTTACTCAAAATGTTATACTAAGTCCCACACCTAGACACGTTATTCGACCCATATAATTTCTATTGAAGCGCTTTCCTAGTCGTATGCAGAGAACGGCTTAAGTTCTCGAGTTTACGGATCGAATAAGAAATTTCAAAGCTATTATGAATTTCCATAGCAAGAGAAAAGACGCAGTCGTCAATCGCATTCAATGGAATGTTTTTTACCGTCAAAAAATAAATCAAGAGAACATACATTTATCATAGGGTCCGTTCACTTAGCCCCCCATTAGCCCAAAAATGAACCAATTTTTTTTATGTATTGTCCCTCAATTGTGCATTTATGCGCACCGTTTGTGCTTTTTTGGTTTTGGAGATAATCGAAGAAATCAAATGGGGGCTAAGTGAACGCTTAGCCCTCCCAAAAATTAAACTTTTTGTTAGTTCATCGACGGTATTGCGTAGTACTTCGATTGTGTTTAATCGTGCTTTCATACTCATCGTTTGTGCCTTTTTGGTTTCGGAGATAATAGGAAAAATCAAATGGGGGCTAAGCCTGGGGCTAAGTGAACGCTTAGGTCTCATCAAAAGAAACTGATTTGTACAAACTATAGCTTTTCCGGGCGAGTCATTTTCGAGATCAGAGGGTGGGGGGGTGGAACTGGTTTTATCCTTCATCATGATACTCTAATGAAAAGAGTCTCAACGAATGGAATTAATTTCTACCAACCATAGCCCTCCTCCTCAACCTCTTATCGTGATCAGGTATATTCCCTTATACCTCAAGATCGGATTGTCGGAAGAGGGTACTCACACGCTGATCAAACAGTTGCATAGAGGTAGAAATGGCCCTAGCATGGGCTCCGCCATGATGTGCACATTCTAGTTATTTTCTGGTTATACAGGGTGAAAATTGGGTGATAGAGGGCCGAGGGGTTCAAGATAAGCACTTTTTTTCAAATAAACCGAGGGTCAAACGTGTTTCGTTTGGGAGCCACTCCCAAAGAAGTGGTGATATTTGGAGTTCTTTAATTTTTTTCTCAGCAATCACCAGTTACTTTTGTGTTGTCTTACTGGAAGAAAGGGCAGCAACAAACTGCTCAACGCAAACTATATTAATTGGCACACAAACTTAATTATTAATATTATAGAAAACATGTAAGTAAACAAGCGACAGCACTATTGCCGTACCGCGCGGTCGCTGCCGTTCTCCGTGACGTGTCCTTTCATTCTTCAATCGCTTCCCTAATAGTCTGGATGCCAAACTAGGATTTTTGGCGTAACCTGGAAGTGAGGTACGGTGAAGGTTTTTTGACGGTTTTTTGTTCGTAAGGATGTCTACTTTGAGAATGCCACCTTGACACCCTTGAGCATTTTGAGAAATTCAAGATGGCGGCCAAAAAATACAAAAATTAAAGTTTTAAAAAATATGGGCATATAACACATCGATTTTAGGATTTTTAAGCCTTCTGAATTTAAATTTTTAGTTAAAAATATTTTTGGGGGCGTTTTGGCGGATTGGGGTGGTGTTTTTAAGGGGTTGGTTTTTATATTTTTTCAATATTAACTTGTCGTACATCGATGTATATGTTTTTATGGATAAGGATCCCGAATTCCATATCAAAATGGAGGTACAGCAAGTTATTCAATGTTAAAAAAGTAGAACGACGCCGACAGACGGCCCGAAAATAACATAAAACGCACGGTACGCCTCGCCCGCGCTGCACGACATCATTTTAATAAAAAGATAATAATTATAACAAGTGCAATACGTCTTTTTATAGGTTTCTTGGGGTGGAGATTACAATTTTGATGTCAAAGTATGATTTTTGAATAAATCCTAGAAAGATATACAAGATAGCGTCAAAATTATTATCTTTTTATTAAAATGATGTCGTGCAGCGCGGGCGAGGCGTACCGCGCGTTTTATGTTATTTTCGGGCCGTCTGTCGGCGTCGTTCTACTTTTTTAACATTGAATAACTTGCTGTACCTCCATTTTGATATGGAATTCGGGATCCTTATCCATAAAAACATATAAATCGATGTACGACACGTTAATATTGAAAAAATATAAAAACCCACCCCTTAAAAACACCCCCCACTCCTCCAAAATGCCCCCAAAAACATTTTTAACTAAAAATTTAAATTCAGAAAACTTCAAAACCCTAAAATCGATGTGCTACATGCCCATATTTTTAAAAAATTTAATTTTTGTATTTTTTGCAGACATTTTTGGGCGGATTCTTAAAATAGACCTACTTAGTGACCTAAAACCGCAAAAAAATTTTCACCGTACCTGAAACAATCACTACACAACAGTTACAAAGATGAGTGACACGTTTTTAATTAGGTTTTCGCTCGGGTTTTCGGGTATGCCCTTTCCGATTTTGAAAAAAATTTTCAAAATTCCTATCACGGAAGGGCGCACCCCTGCTTCGACGAAATTTGGTGCCTGGCGGGTTTTGAACATAAAAATCACGAATCTGGAATTACTTTTTGAAAATTCGAAAAAAAAGTTCCACTGCAATTCTTGGCCGGCCAACGAAAATGAGGATGAGTTAAGGAACAAAATTTTAAAATAACTTTTCAAACAAAAGTTATAGGTACTCGTTTGGTGAATGGGCCTTGGGACAAAGTGTCTCTCGCCTACTACTATAGTGAATGATCTAATTTCGTATGTAGTTAGTTGAAAATGTCACAAATAACAAAAAAATAACGATTTAAGTTGCCTCCATTTGATTTGTCATTGTCCTATTATCTCCAAAACCAAAAAGGCACAAACGGTGCGAATAAATGCACTATTGAGCACAAATGATTATTGAGGCACAATACGTAAAAAAAATTAGTTCATTTTTGGCTAAGTGAACGGACCCTTTATCATATTATCATAGCATATTGTTGTCTAATTATCTTGTATCCAATAATTGACTTTTTACGTTCTGCAACAACGCTGTTATTATTATTGAATTAAGAACTTATAACTTGTTAAAAAATTAAGTCGGATATTCATCTGAAAACTGTATTTAGACGATCGTTGTATCAAAGGTATCCAGTTACCGACGTGCGTAAGTTTATCAATGGCATGATGTCACCGTAGTCAAAACATTCTCTCTCACCTCTCTACTCATTTTGAAGTGAGTATCTCGGCTATATTGTATGAATTAAAAAATGTTGAAGAGTTTCCTTTAATCACGTTTTGTTACTTGCCGTACGATACCAGCACATTCTAGATAAAGAATACTGGCCACCTTTTCTCCTATCTCACTGACCTTCTATTCAGATTTATTATTCAATGGTACAATGAATGGTTGTTTGTCTAAAGACGAGTACATAAACGTGACCTATGCCAACATTCCTTTCTCGTTTACTAAGATAAAATGACATGTGTGATTTGAATGTGTGTGGGCGACCCTCCGCCCCTCCGGAAAAGAAGACAAGTAGTTAAAACCGTTTGGAAATTTTACATTTACAAGATTGTGTAACGCTGCTCTTATCCTATGTCTATCCTACGTACATTTCCTAAAAATCACAGGGGTGCAAAAATGCATTTATTATCTTCGTTGGCGCAGAGACCAGATCTACTGTCCAAATTCTCCGGGTATGCTCAGGGGTAGAGATCATGGGGGGCGGGGGTGAATTTTCAGTAAAAAATATGAATTGCCCCGAGTAACAAGCAAATTTTTTACTTCACTGCACCCTCGTAGCGCCACCCCTAGGCATCCTCTGTCAATTTCGAGGGCAGAGATGGACTCTACGCCCCCGATAACCCCCGAGTAGGATTTCTCCAGCTTATCATATAACGAGCCATCAAGAAAGGATTGACAATCAAGTCGCCGATTTTCTGGGTAACCAAAAATTCCAAAGGTTACTCGACAAGTGACGACAACAACTCTTTTTTGATCGCATAGTATGAAGTATTAGTGAAAATAATGATTACAAATTGTTAGGTATGACAAAATAAACAAAAACAAATAGTTTTTTGTAAATAAAGAAAATTCCCCTATGTATCCTTTTAAATTCACCACGTCAAAGCATTATAAGAATATTAACAAATGAACGTCAAAAATTTTATTTGCGATTTCGACTGCAGGGCTAGGTATTTGAACAAAAAATCATACCTTGAATTTGTTGAATTATAACCTCTGGTAATAGTGCATAATCGGTTTTTGCGTGTACCTTTAAATGCAATTTAATCTATATCAACCAGCTGTTTTTTATCTCTTTTAAATAAGCAAAGGAATGTGCACAAGGTCATGGCAGCCAACATGTAAAAGTAATTTAATTTAGAGTATACACAAACCAATTGTGTAAGTAGATATAGTACCATCTACTCGACACGATGTGGCAGTACAATTTATTTACTACAAAGATAATACGTCACTATCTTTCGATTTTAAAACATGCTGCGAGCTCTGATATTTAATAGCTGAATCATGGTTGCCTCATTTCATAACTGGTTCAATTTTTTAATTCGTATGTCGTCCTTAATTGAGTTTATAATGACGCTTGATGTTGGCGCAGCCGTATAACTCAAGGTTAAAGTGAGACAGTTGGTAGAGCAACCTCGGCTGAAACCCCGCCCACTCAAAAATAAAGGCCAAAAATAACAATGTATGGTGTGTCGAAATTTCTGAACTATAATATGTTGTTAGGGATATGCATGTATGCTTCTCTGTTGTCGACAATCCCAGGTCAGTGAGATTACATGCGTTAAATTTTGTTTCAGATAATGTCAACAATTGTCATATTATATCTATGCTACTGTGCGTACTCGACAGTATTGAAAATACGTGTTTTAAATTTGTACTATCTCGCACCTCATCACCAGACTAACGAATATAGCTTGATCTTTTCTGGGATGATGCTAAGTAGATTAACACCGCCGCTGTGTCTAAATTTCTTGGGTTTAATTCACATGGACAGCCATATTATAAAAAAGCAGATGTCCGAAACCTACTACACACAGGTAATTTATTTGCTAGACAGAGTGGGTCAAAGTAGGTACATGCTTTTTATATGGAACTCATGTTTCTCATAGTTTTATCCCTGTAGGGCGTTTTTAGAACTATTCAATTTATGTTGGTACATATCTTTAAGATCCGAGAAACGCCCATACGGTTTGAGACTCAAGTTTCCATTAGAAAGTGTCCACTTTGACCCACTTAGTAGAATTAGATTCAACTTTTAATTCCTCAGATAATGGGACACATGGACGTCATAGCAATAATATCCGACGGGTTTAACGTCTACTTTCCCATAGCAATTCTGTTGTTTTGTCTGGCAACTTATTTCAGTTTAGGCGCGCGACTTCTCTCGGTGATCGGCTTCCATCAGTTTGTCGGCGATGACGAAATTACAACGGATTTGGTCGACGACGGCAGAGAGCTTATTAAAAGAGGTAAACTGTCACCAAAAATGTCGTTGGTCACCTTTCTGTTACAGAAAAACGCAAGCGTGAGCGTGCGGAGGAGTCGTCGAATCGAAAGCACGAGTTTAATCAGCGGTATCCCGTCACCAGTCGGTATCGAATTCGAAATAGTACTGATACAGGTAAGTGTTATGTCAGGTTATCGCTAATCTTTGACGCAATCCTTTCTAGTTCGGCCTGTAACTCGAGAACTTGTAGAATCGACTCGGTCGAACCTTCTCAAGGAGGGCGGTAATGTGGAGTCGTACGAGGGTACACGATTTAATTCAAGCGATGTGGATACCAGTTTTCCACCAGATAGTAACGAAGATATTGGTGCTCGATTTGGAGTTAGCACTCATAAGATTATTAATGAACGTTTTGATAGTAGTGAAGATTTAGATCCTAGATTTTCGGATGGATATCAAAGTCATAATTATAAAAGAGTCGGTCCACCTCCGCGGGGTATATTTGATGATGTGTAGTTTAGCGCAATTGTTTTAGATACAGGAATCAATATTTCATATTAAGTTATATTAAGTTCTAATGTGATATTTTTCGTACCTGCTTTAGATGAAAAATTATATTAAGGTATGGACGAAGTTGTGTAGCCAAGCAGCAAATTCATTATAATATACGTTTAACGTTTGCACATTAATTCAAATATTTGCTATATATTTTATTACTAGGTACTCTGTAAGTGCTTCAATTTTAGACATTTTGGACAACAATTACCTACACATTCCACAACTTATGATAATGTATTTGAAAGATTTTGAATATGATAATAGTTGGGCGCAAAATTAACCTTCAAGTAACACAATAAATAAAGTAAATACACAAAACTCTACTTGAAACCTTCTCATTAGATAGTTTTAGACACCTACTGATTCTCATAATTCCTACTTCAAAAACTGTTTTAAAAATTCACTTAAAACAATAAAAAAAATTATATGGATTTTAAGGTATTTTTTAAATTAAATAAACACATTAACATCTCATATTTGGGTTCCTTATTTCAAGAATTGATTTCAGTATGCAAACAGAATTCATGAAGTAAAATTCTGATATATGCTATAGGTACTAAAGAGTACACATGACTGTACTATACACCTTCTGAAACCATTCCCAATATGTTACACATAAGCTAACTAAACATTTAGATACAAATGTAACAAATTATTGCAATGGAAAATGAATGCAAGCGTTTTGCAATAAAAATTAATAATACAATAAAGAACAGAGCATTGCATATTGCACTCAATGCTATGGTGTACCGTATCCTGACTTGTGAACTAGGAAAAAAATCAATTTCGCTGAGAAGCTACAACCCAAATAACGGCAATATGCGTGAAGCACAAGCACTTCCAAATGTTTTTGGAGAAATAGCAAAAATAATGAAGGGTCACATTTTCATCCCCATCCATTTCTATGAAAACTATAGTTGTCAGGTAAACTCCTGACTTGACTTTCCAACTACTTTTAATAGTCATTGCAATTATTATCTTTGGTCATAGTATAACATTTAGAAAATACCCTCTAGCGCCTTTATTTTGAACCCGACGCAAAAAGTGTAGAAGTTTTTTTGTAGATCTCATAAGACCCTTCTTTTTTGTAATTAACACTTTTCACTTTGATGCTTACTTTTAGAGGAAAATGCAAATTAAAAAATAAAATAAATAGTTTAACTTTTCAATTCAAAACTTCTCAAAACCAAAGGAACTCACAAAAAAACTAATGAATTTTTTGTAGAGTTTTCTAAGCCATTTTGGCCAGGTAAGTTAAAAAAGAAAAAAAAACTTTTCAAGCCGTTATGAATCTTTTAAACTTTTGACACCCTCAACAACCATGAAGATGGTTACGGATCAAAACCATAAAAGGACGTTTCCCCATACCACCCTATATGCACCCCAAATTTCGTCCAAATCTGTTCAGGGGTTTTTTAGTTATCGTGGTCACAAAAAACGAACCACACACACAGACGTCAAGCTAAAAATCACTTTTTTGGAGTCTGTGCTTCAAAACGTCCAGAAAACGCAATATTCATATCGAAAATTTATCACGATTACAATTTACAATACTTTGATCCTTTATACATACTTTATATGTAGTCGGAAAGTAAAAAGTAGCAGAAATGAAAATTAAATATCTATAGTATTTTCCAAAAATAGCATGATTGAGCGGGATCACATTTTTTGGCTCCACCCACCGGTAATCAGAAGGAGAGTGGCACAAATGATTCCAGTACATAGTTTTTTTGACAATAGTAAGAAAGGGGCGGGGTCGCATTTCCTTGGTTCGATCGCAAATTCTGTGCGAAAGCGAGTAGTTAAAATGTAGGGGCATCTGGGTCGTTTGCGATAAGGAGTTTTTATCGGACGAAATCGCAGACGTGTTTTTACCGCTGTTACGAGATAAGGGTTTTTACAATGTGCGCGTTATTGCCGGCGTAAGTGGGAAGGTTTGACGCGTTCTTTCGAAGCTGGCGTTATCAAGTCCAACTGTGATTGGCGGTGTTTTTGAAAATTCTGAAGATAATTTTATAGTATATAGAAGTAGGGTTGCCGGTTGCGTTTAAATATTGGAATCAACGTAAGACCGAGGCTACTGCGGCGAGTTTTCGTGACGTTAAAAAGAGTGCCAGAGTGTGTATTTTTGATCACGCTAATTTCGAGGGCGTTGTTGGCACGATATTTGTTTAATTAAACACCGTGGCTTTCGAAGTAAAGTGTGTAGAAGAAATTAAACAATCTGTTCAATCTCCATACTAGAATTCGTTCCTTTAGTTATTCCTCAGAAAGTTCCTTTAAAGAAATTACCCTTAGAACGCCCTGTATATATACATATTAACTATTTCGCCTGTCCTTGTATATGTTCCCACTTGGTATGTGCGACGCATTAGCCGCTGAATTTAAAATTAGCCGGAGTTTATTTGTTTTGTACCAGTAAAAACTTTTGCCGATATCAATTAATCTACTATATCGCTACCGAAAAAAGCAACACCAACCGCCATCGTCTAGATTCTTCGTTTGTTTATTGCGCATTCTTCTCAAAAGATCGAATTCGAAACAACAATAAATGTATCGTCATATCACCAAATCAAGATTTAGAATCAATTTATTTTATTTACATTTTTAACAATAAACACGTTAATCATTATTGTCAATATTCTTTCAACATTCCCCTTATTACAAAAGCGTAGCAAGCATATTCCATCATATACAGTCTACATTCATTTGTGCAAGATTCTAAAACGGTTTGTCCTTATTCAGAATTCGAGTGTGAGTAAACAAAGCAGTTGTCGGCTTTCTAAAAAGTTATTTCATGAAAAGTTGAAAGTTTTTACAGCCCGAGCAGCCACCGAAAATGTGTTCACCTTAATCATTAAACCAGATTGTTCAAGTTCGCAGTGTTACCGTTTGTGTGAGTTAAGTGCGCCTATATCTCCAGACCTTTTACGACCATTATTTGGATTATTAGAGAAAAAAACTAAGTAATTTAAGATTTTTTCATTTTTAATTATCGACCGCTTGTGTTCTTTCGGTCAGGGATTTTGTTCTAATTTTTTGATGTTTCGAATTACATTTTTGTCATTGTCTATCAATTTATTTTGTGTTTATTCGAATCCTTTGTGCGACCCAGATAGTCGCTTCATGTCAGATTTTTTTCTATAATAGGTGGCCAAGATTTATTTTAGGTGTTCAAAATTTGTGTAATAGATCTTTGGAATTTTCAGAAGATGATCGAGGCTACCGACCCTCTCAAATTGAAAAAAACTGAAGTCAATATTAGGATTTTTCTTCTATACCACGTTCGCACCTCCAGATGCAGTATGGAGTCTTATAAACTAAATGCCTTTCTTTTAATTTGCGTCATTCTTCGATCTATCTTTAATTATTCCTCGCCGCAATGATGTCGAACTGACATGATTGAATTGCAGTATAGTTATTTATGGTATAAGTGTGTTATATTACAAATAAGTCACGCGAGAAAAAAGTAAAGTTATTTTCTCAAGTGACTTATTTGTAATTAACACACGTGCACCATACAAAACTTTATCCAACACCTCCTCAAGCTGGTTTAAAACGTGGAAATCTTAAAAACTGCGTGTTCCGCGAAAAGCTAGAGTGCATGGAATACAAAAGCAATAATTCGTTGCTATGGGGAATAATAAACAACAAAAAATTTAGTCAGAAAATTTATATGGATTTACTTATGGTTCCTGTACTTTATCTTGCTAGTGAGTTATTTTACGTCCATAACTCATTAGTGGGTTATACCTATTATACCTTACTCGTTTAATTTCGTCATGATAATGACTGGATAACATAGAGGTGTTGGATAAAAGTATTAAAACACAACATAGGTAATCTTCTTGTGCTGTCATTGTCACGGTTGGCAAGCCTCTATGTCCATAAGTACCAAATTGCATCTGGAGGTACGAATGCGCGCTATACTTATAACAGATATGCCAGATGTGTACGAGGAGAAATTATAAAATTTCAAGTTTCAAGTTGCATGTATTTAATATTTTGAGCTATAGCTAGACAGGTGTCAGTTAGTTTATTATAATAAGTCAATACAAACATCAAGCTCCAAGCTACTCCGACGTTTTCCTACTAATTCGTAAGGTAAATACAACAACTTAAACCTTCTGCAAGGGTACCTCTAAAAAAGCACGAGGGCCCAGAACAAGAGACGGACAATAAATAAATAAAAGTGGGGGGGGGGGTCATTTTTATCCCAATGCAATTTGCCTCCCTTACTTAACGCGCGGGTAGTAAAAATACTATCATAATCTCATTCGTTAGTGCGATCTAAAGTACAGATGTAAAATGACGGAAGTTGTGTCTTTCTTCTCCCATCCCCATCACTACGATGATGCCACAGCCGACTACACTGTTGCCGGATTTATTAAAAGTCCCTGGCAGGTCTGCGGATGTCCCCGCACCGTTTTTAGGCAGAGATTTTAAAGAAGCAATGTGTAGGAGGGTGCTATCGTTTTTTCCGGAACCTTGAACTTTTTTTCTTATCATAGAAAAATATTTATTTAAAACTGTAAACTACATACTATAACCGCAGATATCTTTACGTTTATCTGTGCTATACCCAAAGGAATCTCTAGCGCTTTAATTTCTTTTGGGTTTTTTTCATGCGCAATTAATCGAAAAGATACAAAATGCTTGACCCCTTACGGAAAAATACTTAAATTTTTACCCACGTGTGTTATCTAATCTGATCAGAGCTTTAATCGACACTTGAAAATTGATAATTTTGGAAGTGTTGCCCTCGAACAATAAAACATTGCGAAACAATAGGTAAGATATTAGATAACTACACAAAGTTAGGTGAGCGATGAGAGTAGGTACCTAAAATTTGCCCCGTTTTTCGAAGGAAATGCAGCTACGCCATTGCATTTTTCCGGGTTGTGTAAATTTTGTAATTTCTAAAAATTGCGCAATGTTGGAATTGTTGTGTGACTAACTTCAGGTATATAAGATCATTCGCGCTTTGACCAAATCCGATCAGTTGACCGTCTGACGTTCAACGTGAAACATGTTATTGAGTTTTAAAACAAATTTATCTCAAATTAAATGTCAAGTGCTAAGTATACGTGGAGAAAAACGTATAAGAAACTGTTTACCGTCTTGATCAAGTGTTAAATTAGTTGTTTTATTAGTAAATTTAAGAAATAGTGTATATTATTATTTGTGACCATGCCGAAAGGAAAACGAAAAGGAAAGTCTGGTACGTTCGCCTTTATTGCCGTATAGCATAAGGTCGAGTTTTGCGAGGGGTTTCCCTTACGTCAACTGCTTATAAATTCTAATTGGGGCATATGGATACCTAAAACGCTAAATTCGCAAACATATTTTTAATATTGAACGAATTCTTGCTGTCATAATTGTGTGGCAAACATATGTTTTGAATTATTAGAAATATTGCAAGAACGTCATATGACTCGGCATTCTCTCATCCAAATATTGCAAATTGATATTGTCATTATTTCAAAACAGATCGTAGATACGAGGGATCCATTCAAACATCCGATGAGGAATCTGTAATCGATAACGTTAGCTTGATTAGCGGATACTCGGAAAATACAAGCGCCGAAGATGGTATCACGGACGAAGTCGACGGATTCACGCAGCAGGAGGCGTTCGAAGAGAAGCTAATGGAAGCGATAGACGGACTCACTCAGAAATCCGCACAGGGTCGTGCTAATAGTTTCGAAGCGGTCGCCAAAGCTTTTATCAAGAAATATGTACCAGACTTTGTTCAGGATAGGTAATTTGAATTTATTTAAATTTATTCTATCAACAAAAAGTTTATTCCTCGAAAGAGATTTTGTTTGGTAAACAATAATTTATTTCGAAGTTGAAGGTCCAGATCTATAATTGGTGTTTGTATCTACTTATACCTATTATAGTAGGTATTACATAAGCGCTGCTTATCTAGACATTTAAACTTAGCATTAATAGGTAAAAATACCTACCTTTATCGGAACTAATATGTGTGATAGCCTTGATTCTGTTATTACACGGTCAGTGGTACTCAAACTGTTTTTTGCGAAAACATATGGTTAATCCCATTTTGTGTTTGACAAATTTTTTACACAAATTTGACTCGTCTGGTTTCAGATTTTGTAAGCTTACTTAGTGACTTGCTGGTTTGCAATTTTCATGGTCAGATTTTTCACAGGCAGAGCAAAAAAACTACAGTGTGTCCAAGACACAAATGACCAGCATGGGGAAATCGTAAACCATAAGAGATACGTAGTCTGTTAAATTAAAAAAAGTTGTGTATTTTAGGGCTTAGTAAAATGATGCTTTAGTAACCTAATATTTAACAAACTGTACACCGGGCTAAATAACTATTGGTGTAGTATCGTGTAAACTTGGATTCTCTAATTGGGTTGAGCAACCTGCAATAATAGTTCCACGGTTTCTTGTGGTACATGACATTTCATACAGTTATCGTCTTCTTCCAGATTCATTATGCCCATCTCGAATGTCAACTGTTTTACTAAAAATGTGTGGCTTTCTGATACACACTGTCTTTATTCTTCCATTTGCAGCTATGTGGTATGTGGTGCAAACCAACATTATAACTGACATTATCAGCAGAAATGTTTTGATCATACCAGATGTTCAAATAATTTCAAAAATATATCACACAAAAAAGAAAAATTTAAAAAAATTTAAAATTCAAAATGGTGAAAAAAACTTTAAATCCTTTTGGAAATTTTTTCTTGATCTTTTTTGAATTACTTGAATATTTTTTGAATTTTTTTAAAATCTTTTTGAACTGGTTTGGATCACTTGAATCTTTTTTTAATTACATCCATGGTGTTTCCTATCTTTTTAAAACAAGAATTGACATTATCAGCAGAAATGTTTTGATCATACCAGATGTTCAAATAATTTCAAAAATATATCACACAAAAAAGAAAAATTTAAAAAAATTTAAAATTCAAAATGGTGAAAAAAACTTTAAATCCTTTTGGAAATTTTTTCTTGATCTTTTTTGAATTACTTGAATATTTTTTGAATTTTTTTAAAATCTTTTTGAACTGGTTTGGATCACTTGAATCTTTTTTTAATTACATCCATGGTGTTTCCTATCTTTTTAAAACAAGAATTTAATCTTTTTATATTAAAATATGTAATGTAATATGTATATGATTCCATTTCAAAAAATTTTATTAAATCTGATAATTTTTTAATCTGACCTCGTATACTATTTTTATGTATCTTCTTTAACTAAGTATATATAGGGCCATTTTGAAATTGACAGGTTTTAGCGTATTTTCCAGTTCATGTTGGAAGGCGTTATTATGACCACTTTCTCCGTCCGTCCGTCCAGAGCCTTAACTCTCACCTTAACTACTACAGTTTTCAAGATATTTAGTTCGTTCTTTTTGCTTTCAGTAGCTTATATAGGTCTGGCACCTCAACCAAGAAAATCTTGACAATTAATGTGTGCGCATGCGCAAACTCAACTTTCGTATTTATAGATACTTTATTGAAATTGTAACCCCACATGCTTCTATAGCGCGTTCACACCTTCAGATGTAGTATGGCGCTTATGGACAATGCATGCTTGCCAAACTCGTTGCCAAACTTATAAATAAATGTGAGAATGATAGCACAAGGCGATATTGTGTTTTAATACTTCAATTCAATCATATGTCAGTTTGGCATCATTATGGTTAGGAACATGGATAGCGTTATCGAAGAATAACGTAAATTAGTAAGAGACGCATTTAGTGCATAAGAACCCATTGCAGCTGAAAGTGCCAACGCAGTATAGTAAAGACAAGCATATCGCATATTGTGGAATCAGATGTGCACAGCGCATATGTCATCTTCCGGGAGATTTTATTACGTCTAAAGTTTTTCTATTTTGTTTCGAATTTAAATGCGCTATTTTATTCTGAATTAATTTTTGACATATGTCAATTTTTCTCTAAAAATTTAAAGATGCAAGAGTCCATTCAAAAATTCATAGGTATCACTTAAACCAGGGGTCGGCAACCTATTGAAACGGAAGAGCCAAAAGTTACAATTTGCAAAATTTCCCAGTTTTTAAAGAGCCACTAAAAATTTTCAAATCAGTGCTATAATATTTGGTCATATAGAGGGTCCTGCAACATTACGTTCGTCATTTCTAGCTTATGCCTGGTAAAAAAGATTTAAAAAAAATCTTGTGTGCAAATGTCAACTATACATGGTTGTGGATCTACAGAAATTATTTTTGAATGTACAGGGTGTCCCATTTTTACGGTGTCAATAAATAAATGCTTTTTTTAAATAGAACATCCTGAATTATTGTACTTGTTTCAATGTCATTTGTTCAAAGTACCATAACTATTATTTTTCAAATTTTTATCTACCACTATTTTATTTCGCTATTCGATTGTGTTTTGTATCCTCTTCAATTTTTATACGAGGTGTCCTGTGCTTAAAATTCATAATTTTTATGTTATTCAAATTTTTTTCTTATTAATTAATTACATATTTATACATCGGAGTAGGCTGTCATAATAAAAAAAGACAAACAAATGTCGCAAATTAGGTAATTATGTACTGCAAGTGTACTTTCAATTTCGTAATAAAATAAGATCCATTAACATGAATTTCGAAAAAATGTACTAAGTTTTTTAGATAAATGCAGAGAGCCGCAACTTTACATCAAAAGAGCCGCAGGTTGCCGACCCCTGACTTAAACCGTTTAAGATATGTGAGCGCTCTTTTTTATAATCGAACCTCTCAGTCTAAGGAATTGTTGAGTGGCCGTTTCGAGGGCTGCTACAATTTTTCAAAGTTGCATTAAAAAATTGTCAAAAACTTATAGCCACAGTTATTAACATTCTGTATGCTTATATCCGGTGGTTTTTGAGTGTGTGAGAATTTTAGATATCAATTAACAAAACAATTGAGCACTATTAAGTAAGTACATACTATATCGACAGTATCCGTGACTTTTCCTTACCCTATCGATGACAGTCGAGTTCAGTACAATCGTCACTTGATGTGACACCATTGTATTTTGCTATTGAGCAAAACTCATAACTTTGTACCAATATACGAAAACATAAACAATGTTAAAACATAAACAATGTTAAAACTAAAATGGCGCCGCTTCTGGTATTTATGGAAGCGGCTCCATCTTGAAATTATTTTATTTCAGTTTGTAACCGTAATCGTTGATTATGACTAAATGAAATTTCAAGTTTCTATTTCAACTGCAAGTTTAAAAACTTTTAAGGAACGGACTATGCTAATCTCCCTGTATATACCAGTTGTTGTTTATATCAAATTAAGTTCCCTGTCACTGGATTTATACTGGCAACACCCACTCGCTTGTGGTTTTGATAAGTTTATTTCTTATTGGCAGTAAAACCACGGCAGCGATTAGAAAAACAGCTGATTTTCCTGAGTTGATAAGGCATCGTGAACATTTGTAACAACTTGCATTATGATCTACTTCCCCTAAATCAGGGGCCGGCAACCTGTGATATAAAGTTGCGGCTCTCCGAATTTAAAAAAATATTGAATAAAATAAAAACTGCGGGGTTTAAGCATAGGACACCCCTTATAAACATTGAAGAGAACACAAAAGACAATCGAATAGCGAAATAAAATAGTGGTAGTTCCATTTGAAAAAGAATAGTTATAGCACTTTGAACAAATGGCATTGAAACAAGTAAAAATATACAGGATGTTCTATTTAAAAAGATCAGTTATTTATTGACATCTTAAAAATGGGACACCCTGTACATTCAAAAATAATTTCTGTAGATCCACAATCACCAATATTTTTTACCAGGTGTCAGCTATGTAGGAAAAACCGACGCACTGTTGCAGGACCCTGTATATAGCCAAATACTATAATATTGAATAAAAAATTTTTTGTGGCTCTTTAAAAACTGGGAAATTTTGTAAATTGTAATTTTTGGCTCTTCCGTTTCAATAGGTTGCCGACCCCTGCCCTAAATAGTGTAAGGGTATGTTGTGAAACAAGTTACACTTCGATTACAACACCAACACCTACCCTCAATTTTATTTTTATGAGAAATGACTACTTTTGAGGAGGGGGAGGGGCACTTCTGAAATTTTTCTACTTCATTGGTACTTGGTGTAATAATTAAAAAAAAACATTTGTATAGCATTGGCATTTAGTACTCGGTGCTTTCCTAGGAAATTAACCATAATTGATTGCATCGAAAGAAGTTTGCGTAAAGGAAGAGGTGTTGAACAGGAGGTCTCTGCAGAATTAGCACCACTACTATGTGTTCAACTAGGCGTCGATGCTAGCAACGAAGTAGTTGCCAATTTAAAACCTGTATTGAAATCAACAGCCAATGACAACTCTGTGTCCGCATTAGCCAGGGCCAAGGTAAGTCAACTTTCCCACAAGTTTAAATTAACAACACAATTTTGTTTTAGTGTTGTACATCACTAGCTTTAATAACTTACTTATCCGGCGGCGAAATGGGAGACGTACTAACTTTAATGCAACAATTCCAAGTGATTTTCTCGGGTAGCTATCTGAAAGGAGATGGTTCATTGCCAAATGTGAATAGCGACGCCGCCACACTTCACGCCGCAGCGTTAAGTGCTTGGACGCTTCTATTCACATTAATGGCACCCGGTGATGTATACACAATGATTGGTAACGGTACCAATTTCACTCCGTAAGTTGAGCGATACAAATAATCCATTATTGACATTAAATTGTAGGTCTCTGGTCCAACTTGCACAATTACTTGCCTCTCCCTTCCTTGAGGTTCGATTATCTGCCGGAGAAGCGCTAGCTATCGTTTTTGAATTGGGACGAGAGTACCACGAGGACTTTGCCGAAGAGTTTATACCAGACCTAGTTGACACTTTACGTCAGCTCGCGACTGATTCGCATAAATATCGCGCCAAAAAAGATCGGAAACAACAACGCGCGACTTTCAGAGATATTCTATACTACATTGAGGTATACAAGGCCGAGTCAAATACGATTTAATGAGCCAATTTTTTAGGAGGATAACTTACAAGATTTACAAATACGATTCGGCAAGGAGATACTCGTTTTGGACAGTTGGACTCGCAGAAAACAATACTATGTGCTTTGTCACACTTTGGGATCCGGATTGAACATGCATTTAGCCGAAAACGAACTTCTTCGAGATATTTTTCAATTGGGTAACAAACTTATAATGGATACACCGTCATTAAAGCAATCGAAATTGGAGAGGCATTTGGTAAATGCGGCCGCTTTTAAAGCTAGAACAATTTCTCGCAGTAAGAATAGAGATAAACGGTCAGATTTTTGATTTGTTGTAGTGGAAATGAAGTAGGTATCTATATCAAATTAATTAACATGATGTGTATTTATTTTTATTAGTTTGTAATTAGAAGTAAGTAGACTCATTGTTGTTGTTTTGAAACTGAGTGTGTCAGTTTATAATCAATCCAAAGTAGTAGTACTAGCTCATTTTCCATCTGCTTTGAGCTAACAGCAGTGCTTTTAATTGGTTTATTGTACAATAAAGAATTCTACCATGTAACATCTTTTTACTTTACAATTACTAATTCTAACTTATTTATTTATCTGAAAAATTTGTTGAAGATTATTTTAAATAAAGTTGAGCGAATTCCATTTATTTCAATTAGTTTTACTACCTGGTCTCTCGTAGGTGATAAGATTTTACCCAATATCCCAAAGTAAAATGACGTTTTACACGTTAGATTCCAACAAAAGTAGTGGTGGTGGTACTTGCTTCGTCAAGGGTTATGGTATCATTTTTAGTGTTCATCATCGGGTGCCCAATTGTCGGACGAAAACACGTGCTCGCGCATGACGTCACTCTAGTTACATCTGTCACGTGATCCCATAAAGATTCAATGGTGGGCCTAGTTTTCGACGTATAATCTGCATTGTGGTGCATATTATATTTATCGTACGTACAGGAATATGTGTAGTTGATAGTCCTGCATTGCAAACACTCGAGTTTTTGCTTCTATTAATAGCGAATACCTTTTATTTCCGATTTCATTACACCGCGAGGATACCCAATAAACATTTAAACGATAATGCCTGGTTGCGCGAATGCAAAATGTAATAATTATTCACGAAAAACGAAGGGTTAATGTGTTAAATACTTCGGAAGTGAATATACGTATGCGAAAAAATTTGTAGACTAAACAAAATTGGGGCATCCGTTATCATACGAGGAGACGCTGTAGCCGAGTCAAAAAAGAACGTTCTTAGGATAGAAGAATAAGCTTTGTACAAAATTACATGCTTAAATTAAAAAAATAAGCTGAAAGCAATTTGTTTAATATAATTAATATATTTACAGTACGCGGAAATACTTTTATTGCTTCGATCATTTAGATATACGTGAGTATATCAAATTATTAAATACATTTTGATTGATTACAAGCCCTAGTCTACTATATTTTCAAACTGTTTAAAAAATAGAGGTACATGATCTTCGTTTTTCATTCACGTACACGCGCTTGGCGCACCATTTGAACAATACCTCTACTTACATTTTATCTGCTTTGCATTTCATTGTAAGGTTTTTGTGCGAGCTTGCATTTGTGTGTGTAATATTATATACTGAAATAAACCTAAATTTTGCCGACAGATACACAAATAATAGTGCGTTTCCGTAACCTCTTCCCTATCCATTTGTATACGCGCGCCGGAGTTTGTAACGTGATTGACGTCATACGGCGTGGGGAAAGGGGACACGATGCGCGTTGCGATACTGTTTTTATTATACCATGGTGTTCATGAACAACATAGCCATGATACTAGCTTAAAGACCAAGCAATTAACGTTAATACTTAAAAGCAAGCAAAGGTAATAAGAGTATTATTACACAAAAATGCGTATTTGCAAAAGATAACAGGAATTTTACAGACTACATAATATGATAGGGGATTTTGGGATTTACTCGACCGCGGCAGATTAAAGTAAGGTGGGTTGACTACGCGTTGAAAAGTGTTCATTTCTATAATCTGACGATTCAGCTTGATGTTATGACGTGCGTAGTGGGAAGGTCACGAACTGTTACCTTGACATTTTCGAGCACGTTGGAATTTTTTTTATTTCGAAGGAAATTATTCAAGAATAACAGAAGAAATATAATCTGTCGATTTCCACACGCCAAAGTGGAACAAATCGTTAATAAAGTTCAGTGCGTTCAGCAGTTGACTGAGATCATAGGTGCTCGTGTCATAAACTTGAGAGGTTCCACCCTGTATATACAACGTACGGCGATGCACACATTTTTGAGAGTTGGCAACCACGCAACTTTTAGGTGAGAAAAGATATGGAGGAAAGCTGTTTGCGCCATCTGGAGAGCAGGGACGTGGCCACGTGGGTTACGTAGTCTAAGGGTTACGTTTGGCATCGGACTTTAAGGGCGGTCGCTCCATAATTGTTTTTTCTTATTTTGTGTTATTTAATGCAGGTAGTAATCTTTGCATTTCTTTACATCGTACTTGTGTTTTGTATGCAGCATTTTATATTTTTATGAGTTTCAATCTTTGTTTTTGAAATTGACTTGATTTAACCTTAATGCAGAATCACATATTTGATACCGTTATCCGTTATCGTTTACGTTTTTGGTGTAATGTTTGCTTAATTTATGTATATGTGTGGATTACTTGGTCTTGTCTCAGAAGTAACATTCATATAAATTTTGATCATTTTATTTTAATATGTGCAAATTACAGAGTTGTTTGTGTGTGTACTGACTTGTTGTTTGTAACTAACATTTTCTCCGTGAACGAAGCAGTCACGGGGATGGCAAACAACTGTAGTCAAATTGAGTTACGACACCTAATTTCCGTGATTGTCTTCGACATTCAACTAGATGCTCGAAACCCCAAACGAGAGGCGAACTATCTACCTTGCGGAGGCGAGATTACGCTAATCAAAAATCTTCGGTTTTGAATCTATGTACGATGAGTTACGTACGATTCGCTAATTTCCACATATCATTGCCGATAGTTGAATTTGAGTACAAGGCCATGTAATTTTCCATCTTGTTTCTAACAAAAGGCTTTATTGCACCAAATATTAGTCACATCCTGTACCCTTCTCAGAATCTAGGTACCTGAATGGTACCTTCTTACCTGCGCCATTGTTCCCAAAATTTGTTTTTAACCTTGAGTGTAACCAACATTGTGTATATGCACTTACTATCTTTGTTAAGTACTGCCTACTGACTAACACGACGTGTTTGCCCAATGAGCGCAGTCATCATCAGCGAGCAATTGGTTTGCGGAACAAGTTAAACAGCCACAAGTAGTTCCAGTGCTTCCAAGCGGTCTAATTACCGGTACGGGTAAAACAAGGTAAGACCATTGCTCGTTGAATAAATTGAGAAAAAAATTATATCAAAATTATTTTACTTTCCATTTCTATCAACCGAGACCACAGTAGGTATAAGTGAGTATGAGTGACATTACTTAAAGAAATCGAAATAGAATGAGCGGTGCAAATGCCGTCAGTCATGCGCAAAAATATTAAGTGCGCGCGTGGAGTTTGAAAAATGGTATCAAAATATACCCATGAAATTGAATATTGGAGTTTTTATTATGCAAATTATTGCACTTATATGTAACGCAATTCATAACCGTTTTTTCAAACATGTCAATAATTTATTTTAAACAAAAATAAACAAAATATAAGACGTAGACCCATCTCTCGCTCTCACAAAAATTCCCCACGGCCCCTGGCAACGGCTGATTGCGAGCGATGCTGTTCCAGTTATAGCTATACTATACATGGTGATTCAAATTCGAGAGCCACCATGGGGGATTTCGGGAACTGTAAGAGATAGGTATAGATAGGATTGCCAAATTTAAACTACCTACCTATCTCTTACAGTTCTCGAGATCCCCATGGTGGCCCTCGAATTTGAATCACCCTGTATATAGCACGGCTGACTCCGTATCCGTAAGCTCGTCCGCCATTTTGGAGCCCATACTTGCATGTTATGTCTTATCTTAAAGAAAAACCATTGAGTTCTTTAACGTTTATTAATGCAATGCATAAACACATTTTACACAACTAGTTTTTCTGTGCACCGAGTGGGACTGTCAGTGGGCTTCAAAATAGCAGACGAATGTGCTACCTTAATCAAGTCTTGTAGTTCCAGTTACAGCGTAGTACAAAGTTCAATGCTATCGAGTTTGACTTACTCTAGTCGCGGCTGGTGTTGCCATAGCACCGCGCCGCCGCAAATGTTTTCAGAATAAAATTTTTTTCTGCAAACTTTTTTAAGTGGTGTTAAGTAATAGGATTTAAAAAAAATAAAGAAAGTACAAAGGACATTTTGTTATCTGTTAAAGGGACCAGGGACAGGTGTAACAGAAACAGGCATTCATTTATAAAACTGTAACGAACCTTCCTTTTGATTCAATAAAACCTCGTTTTTGTAAAAAATATATAATCGAAAAACGGTACTGTATCATCACCAGCTCCCACTAAAGCTTAAAATAGGAATAGTAACTTGAACCAAGAATGCTATTTACTGAACACGCTCCTTGGATGTAAAAGTTCTTGCGTGCGCCACTGGTTCCGGATAACCTAACCCCATTTTCACAGATCAGTTAATTTGAATTTAAATAGTTAACGGTCAAATTTGAAACCAGTCAGTTACTGCACTTCACACGAGCCCGACTGCCCAGTGACCAGCCCAGTGCAAAAATCACCTTTTGGCGGTTTTTTACATGTCTGTGATTTAATTGTATTTATAATAGTTAATATGCTTTATTTAATATTTATACGTATCTAAACAACAAAATGGAAAAGAGAACGCCCAGAAGACCACTGCCTAATAAATTTTTAGAAAAAACCAGCCAACATAGATATCACACTCTTGGAAACGATAGTCCGTTTCGATTGCTTCCCGTGGTTTCAACACCACCGTCGAGCATACTGACAATTAAGAATCCGTTCGAGTCTCAACTAACTGAAAGACTGCATCGTTCTGTGTTTAGGTAAGTCACGGTTATTGATAACTTTCGATAAATCCACATCGGAATTTAGCCCGTCTGTGTTCAACGTACAGAGTACTAAGACTGAAGATAAGTTTAGGTGGACGATCGAGGAAATTTCCACTTTAAAACCTGCCGATATTGACGAAAAGACGGTCGATTTATTCGAGATGACCGATCACGATGTGGAGAGTGAAATATCGGCTCAGGCAAAAATCGAATCCTACTTCAATGAAAAACTTATCGTTCCTAGCCCCTTCAATGTAGTGAATTCAAATCCACCGTTAATAACGGACAGTGGGGAAAAAAAGTTCAAGCAACTGGTGGAAGGTAAGTTGATGATAATCTATCTCAATGCTCAACTTTACCACAACCCCCAATTTAAAAATTCACAGCGTACAACTTTTAGTTGGCTCTGTCAGATTATTACGTACAATTAAAGGTAGGACAACACTATACTGTATTCATTTTAAGAAGGTAGCGGTAGAAAGCATAGGGAAGCTTTGACCTTCAGTGTGATTGGTTAAAACATGAGTCAGTATTACACTGAAACGTGAAAAGAGTGGCGAATTTTGCAAACTGGTAGTTTCTATTGCCCACTAAACTGTTGGAAGTGTCATTAGCTGTTAATGTCAAAGATATATTTCTGTTTGCAGTGATGGGGATATTTGTACTTTACACTACTTTGGTCTCGACTTTGGTGCTGTTTTATATTTTTCCTGTGTGTGCTTATCTTCAAGCACAGCGCCATCTACTACCTCCTTATAATGAATGCAGTATAGCTGGACTGGAACTGCACTGCAACAGAGTGACGCGATGCTCTCTAGGGGTCTCAAATCACAAATGAAGATCAGTGTGTTGCGTCATTTGCTATAAGTACCGCACTAGTGGTAGTGGAACTATATGGCATGCCACGGGGCTTAACAGTTTTGTTAATTGGCATCGTGCCGCATCGCTCTGCTTTGGATGCAGTTCTGCCTAGTGTCTTACCTTTACTCATCACATTTTTGTTGACCATTCGCCTTAGTTTTTCTGCAATAAAGTAAAAAACTTCAATGATTTATGCAGCTGGAAAACTTGAGTGCTTTTGTTGGATGTTTGATGAATTTCCAAGAATAAAATCATCTCAAAACCATTGCTATTGCTTTTCTAAACTTTAGCTTTTCTCAATGCGAAAGTTTCTAATCAAGTTATTTAAATTCAGTGAAAAATTAATGCAGGAATCCGAATCAAACAAAATATCGATGTCGATCAGTCTGTCTGTCTGTACTGTCATTTTCGGCTAAATGACTGAACCGATTGGAACCAAATTTCGTTCACATATTCTTAGACATAAAAGAAAGAGCTAAAACGGTTTTCAACAGAACGCGCATGTGCAGGTATGTGAGTGGTGTCTGATGTACTAGTGACAATATAAAGTTTTTATCGAGCTTTTTATTATTGTTAAATGCAAAACTTTTGCCTATGAAGGGTCATCCAAGACTTTATACAGAACCTTTAAGGAAACTTTTGGACCACTTAAGAAGTGTATCATATACAAGGTGGCACAACGAAAATAAAACAGACTTTATAACTCGTAAAAGGAAATAGTTTTTGCTAAAAGACGCAAAAATCGGTCGATCGGTCGTTGGAGGGTGGGACATTTTTTACATAGAAATTGACAACCCTAGCGTTAACCCCCTTTTTTTAGGATTTTGGGTCATAGTGTCAAAACTAGCCCCCTGGCGGAGAAGGATTAAACTAAATTAACTATATTTTGGTTGAGTCTTGTTGCGCAAGGAATGCTCTTTTCAACCATACCAAATTTGTTAAAATCAGTCAAACGGTTAAGAAGTTAAAGCAGGTTATTGCAAAAACAATTGAACGCCTCACGCCATCTTTGTTTTTGAAATAACTGAGTTTTTGTTTTTACGAAAATGATGGATAAACTGGTTCTCTTTAAAAATGTGAAAAAAGAATGTTTATTATTATGCGAAATTTAAAGAAAATGCAATTTTAAAATTTAAGATGGCAGTTACGCCCTCTGGTGGTCATTTTTAGAACTTGAAAATATTTTCTCGAGATATGGCCGAGGAACAGTCTTATTGGGTCACCCGGTACATACATACACACTGTGTCCAAGATAAGGACGCCTTATCATGGAGATCTACGAAACCATAAAAGATACGCCGAGGGTCTAAGTACAGCACTGTAATCGTGCCAGAATAACTTTGGCCGATAGGAATTCTCGCACGATTAGTCGTTGTGCGTGGTGGCACCATCCTGTAGAAACCAACAGTTTCCAACTTTTGTTTTTTAATTTAATAATTGTTTAATTGCGTAACTGTTCTCTAATTTGACTATCGTCGTATCTTCTATGGTTTCGGAAATCCCCATTGTAGACACCCATATCTTGGACACAGTGTACATTGTCTTTAAAAATGTTGTTAGGTATATTTTTTTTATGAATCTGCTGGATTACTACAAGGCATTCAAGATGAAACACTTCACGCAATGCAAGAATTTTCTCGCCATGTATTGTACAGGGTGTTCAAAATTGCTCGTTTTCGATGTTTTTCGAGGATATTTGAGAACAAAAAGAGATAGAACGATGCAATAACTCATTTATTTGTGGGAATATCAAAAGGTAATGGTGGGTATTTCTCGAGGTATTTCTGTATTTTCCATAGCCTGCTTAGTTTAGATACAGCAAGGAACTTTTTTTTCCAAATGGAATATATAACTTTATTTCCTTATTCTTTTCTAATTAGAAAAATATATAATTATCAGTATGTTTGATAAGAAAAAAATCCAGATAAATAGGAAAACCGTTATTCAGTCTTGAAAATGTGGATCAAATGTAAGTAGGCAGGAAAGCACAAAATAAATGTATTTTAATAGTATTTAGTCATTTATCTTATTTATTTCAAGTTCTATAAATCCTGACATCGGTTTCAGCCAGATTTAAGATAAATGAGCAAATTCTATTCTACTTGATGCAATATTTAGAAAACATGAAATCTAGCATACCGTGTGCTGTCAGGATGCGTGGTGTCTGTGTGTTACACGGATATATCGTATAATAGTGCAAAAGTAAATTTCTAAAACGAAACATGGAACAAGTTGACGTAGGTTTTTTTCTGTGTGATAGCATATTAGATAGCTATCATATGTTTTCTCCATTTTTTTGTATATTATAACCATATGCATATTTTATGCTCGATTTTATGTTGTACAGCAAATCTTTTCAAATACCGTAAAAAACAGGCGTTGCATTTGAAAAACAAGAGTTGCATAGATTTCCCGTTGGTATCTCGCCAAATAAAAGAGATATTGAGATGACTCTCTCATCTCAAACGCTCTGTATATAAAGATGCTAGCGGTCGTCGCCGTTGACCGTCTAATCGCTATAGCAGCCACGCGGGCGTACAGGTTCGATTCCCAGCAGATGCAGATTTTTTTTAAATTTCATATATTTAGCAGTTTTACATTTTGGTAGACTAATGCTGATCGTTGATGTAGAATCTCAGACAGACCTGTAGGGATTGGTATTTTTATTTTTTTTTTATTAAAGGCAATTCGAGTGTTCAGCAAAATCGAGCAAAATATGATAAACATTCTTTTAGTTCAAATTTAATTTAACTATTAATCCTTTGTTACTTATCATCTTTCCCTTTATCTTATTTATTTTTATTTCGATTCTTATTTTTTAAAATTTTATTTTTCTTTTTTTTAAATTCTATTATCAAGTTATTCACCTTGCACTAAGTTTTTAAACTTAGATATCTGCTGCAGGTATGAATTCAGTGTTGATATATATATTTTTTTCTTTTCTTTTTAATGTTCAATGTACCCATGTTTGTGTGAATGAAACTCCGTAGATTTTATACATTTATTTGTAGTATAATAATTTTTAAATTTAAAGTGAAAGATATTTTGTTGTTTTTTATGTACAAATAAATGGCTTATTATTAATATTATAATTAATAGGTGCCGTCCATGTAGCTTTTCGAAAATAAGCCGAAGTTTTAATTGGCGAGTCCATTAATTTATGTAATAATATTTACGAATTTTGGTTGAAAGCAACAAGAATATATTCAGTATTTATTCTATTGCTAACCGGCACGAGTAACCAGCATGTTAACTTTCCGGTAGGCGGGTGGGATTTGATTAAGTAAGTAATTTATCTATAAATAAAAAGCATGGCACGTTACGAAAACTCTTATCAAAAATAGTTTCATCTGGAGTTTGACGGCCTCAGCTCCTTGCACACAGGCGATTTTGCCGGCTAAAGGTTATTGAGTTAGACGAGGAACAGGTTTGGTAAGGCACAGGATATTTTCTCAAATATGGAGCATGTTCATCTTTTTTTTTAATTGCATTGTCGGCTGCACTACCAGTCTAAAACATTGAACTGTATACTCTGTAACAGGAATCGCATCGATATCTAAAATCGCGTGCCGTCTAACGTAGGCTGTGGTAGGTATGCTCATCCTTGTTTAGCACGTTATTTGTATAATAATCCTTGGCATGTTGATTTGTAAAACGCATCATAAACGTCACGTGAGTGGAACACGATGAAGTATACCTACCTCTACCCATCTCTCTCGATACGCGGCTCTTACAACAATATTGTTTACAGGCGATGCCGTTCCAGTTACTGAGTATTTAGTTCAATGGTCTAAAATTAGCGTAATAGATATTTACGCTCTCTTTCAAAATAACCCGAGTCAGCCCCGTTTACGGTTCATTCTTCCTATTTAAGCAAAACCACCTTCTCTAATTTCAACATCGTCATTAACCCGACAACACTCTCTGCCGCTAGAACTGATAAAACTCCTGCACCGCTTATCTCGCACGTGACATTGTCGAAAAACCAATTAATTCTTGGCCGATAACAAATTTTTACAACGCCCGACCAGATAACACTTTAAACTCAGGTAAAAATTTTGATTAAGGGCCGAAACTACTGCACGCAGAACGCTGAAGTTTGGCATGCACGTCCCTTGGGGATGTCCCAAAATGTCATCGGGAAAAAACGTGATTTACAGTCGAAACCGCTGAAGATAGAGACTTGACATTTAGTACATAGGTTTCTTGGAAGATGATAAAGTGTATGCTCGCAGAAAGCACTTCCCTAAATTCCCACGGGAACGGGGAAAGAACGAGACCATGTGCGTACGAAGAATCACTTACCCAAAAGCGTTTTAGTGTTGTATGGACGGATGCTCGGACGTTCACGCTTTTTGGTTATTAATAAAGTAATTAATATTGCAATATGCATATCAGCCAAGTTTGGTGAAAAAATTTCAATGCCTTCTTGCATGTCATTTGAAGTTGGGCGCTGTGGTCACACCCCTTGTCAATAACTGGTCAGCGAAATTGTTTCGGATGAAGCCCGAATTATTTGCAGGTGAAGCGCAAACTGTCTTAACACTTCCACCGACTTTACCGGATCATTTGGAAGCCGTACTTAAACCGTTCTTCTCATACACCGCAGACCAACAGCAAGATAAGGAGAGTAGAAGCTCTCTGTATCGCCGATTGTTTGAATTGAACGACTCAGACTCTCCGAATAATTCGGCGTTAACGTCTCCCGCTCCGTCGTGCGTTCTTTCACCCATTGAATTATCGCCATACGATGAAGCGACAACTGCGAGTAGAAATTTCGGCAGTCCACACGATCCTAATGGTATGCCAGACTGTAACTTGTCACCTATTGCCACAAATTCGCCCACGACATTTTCGAGAGTTGCGTCGGCTAGCAGATTAAACTTTTCACCACGTATGAGCGTAGACACATCTTTGAACTTAGTTCCAGACACCTTGGATCAACTTCCGTCCAACAATCAAAGTCTCGCGTTTGGTATGTATTGATTTCCAAAGATGAGAACCTAATGTCGTTTTCTAGAAAGTATGCACTCACCAGTTCCTGAACTGTTAAGCAATTCCACAATAAATTGGGATCTCGAATACAAGCACATTTCTCTAGCGTCATCAAGCGGAGATGAAATGGACGTATCCAATTCGAATACTCCCAAATCGAAGATTTTTATTAGTCAACGAAAGAAGTTATCAGATAGCTTTCTTAGGGTGGACGAGTCTGACGAAGACAAAGAAAATGTTTTTAATATGAATAATTTTCGATTCCGAAACACAAAAGTGAGCTTTCTTTCGCGTGACGGCGATAGCACTATAGATGTAGGTTATCACACGGGTAGCAGATTGATGATCTCGGAAGAATCTTGCAACTCGCCACATTTATATGCTTCGACACCAACAAAAGATAAAAAGTAATAGTTATATTCTCACATTTTTGTTAGCGATACAGTCCAGAACAGAATGATTGTTTTTTACATATTTTTATCTATATACAAGCTTTTGTGATTTGTATGAAATTGTTGTAAAGAAGTTGCATGTAATTTTATTGTAATTAAGTCATTTAGTTATGTGCAATTGATTTTAATATATAAATTTATACCTACTTTTATTTATTCTCAAAACGCTTTATTTTTAGGCTTCTATTCAATGGTATAACTGATACTGTAAAAAAAGATGAGGTAATACGCTGAAAGTCAATATCATGTAAGTATGGAAGCTGAATTTCAAGTACACTATTTTTATAAATAAAATATAAATAATTAAAATAAAATATTAAAATAAAATTAAATTAAAAAAAAAAGTAAACTTAAAGTAGGTAATAATAAAAAATAACATAAATTTAAAAAAATAAAATGTCAACGCAATCGCTTTTTGATGAATGTGGCAAGCTGGCTGGTCAAGTATGCGCGATTCTCCACAGATGGGTGCAAGGGTTTTTAGGGATCGTGTTAAGGCAGTTAAGTTGCGCACACGTTCTGGGCACAATCGTAAGTAATGCTAAGTGTTAGTGAGTTTGGGGTATATGGTGCACGCCATGGTGCTGGCCGTGCTATTGTGGTTGGACTATTATTAGGTAAAGCCCCTGGCAGATATCTGAATATATTCCTAGGCTCCGAGAGTGTATAATTTGCATGAACCTATGACACGGTTCCGGTAGATTTCGATGATTATACCGCTGAGTGACCTATTTGCTTGAATAGGTCATGGTGTCGACCCAATACCAAAAATGAAGACCTCATTGCTAATAAAAAGAGTTCGGGGCTGAGCTTAACCTGCAGGGGTGATCTATTGGCCCAGGGTACTAGTTCGAAGATCGAGCCAGAATGTGTATCGTAAACAATACATGTGAGCGAGGGGTAACCCTTTCCTAAATAGGTATGAGCTTCATCTTAACCCTTCAACATGTCAATTCCAACGACGCATTCAACCCCAGTTGCTAATCGGAGGTCAAGGAGAACTCAGCGCCAGCTCGGGGCTCACGCGCTCCGGTGAGTTACCTAATTAATTGACAAAGATGGCGGTTAAGCAGTCGCGATGTTTGTTTACATGATTCTCGAGCGCGAAAGATAGCCTTTCAGACTGAATAGTGGTATGCCACCTCATGCGTAGATTACAGAGGGATGTTTCTAATGAAAGGTGAATTTACTGTAGATTTGTCGTATGTTAATAATGAGTTCTGACCAACAATTAGCAATTAGCCCCCATTTAATTTAGCTGCTTCCCCAGTTTAAAATAGCACTCATTACATTTATTTTATTAGATTTTACTATTCTTATTAAGTATTTTATTTTATTTATCTTTATTTTTTTTCTTTTATTTATTTTTTATTTTGTTTTAGTTTACTTTTTATTTATTGTATTTTTTATTTTAGTTTATTTTTATTTTCATGTTGGTTTAATTTATGTTATTTTATCTTTTTTTTTTAATTTACATTATTTTTGTAAGAACGATAATTTATGGTGGACCTTAATAACGAAAAAGTAAAATGTAAACGCAACCCCTATTTGATAAATGTGGCAAGCTGACTGCGCGATTCTACACAGATAGGTGCAAGGGGTCGTGTTACGGCAGTTGCATACGCGCTCCGGTCACGATCATAAGGGATGCTAAGTAGAGCATCAAAGTATTAGTGATTTTGGCGTAATAGTCCTTTAATGTGAGTGTCTCCCACATGTAGGTGGTGAGTGTATTGTGCAGGCTCTGCTTTGTTGTTGGGCCATTAGGTATAAAATGCCTGGCAGGTATCAGGATATATTCCTTATAGGGTCCGAGAGTGTATATAGGTGCATGAGGATGTACAGCTCCCGATGATTACACCGCTGAGTAGGTCATAGTGTCGACCCAATACGAACAATTTAAGGCCTCATTGCTAGCAGAAACAGTTCTGGGGTGAGCTTGACCTGCAGTTGTGTTCGCAATGAGAGGCATAGACTTAGACCATATAGTACATGGACTGCTAATTGTAACTAAAATATGGTCAAGGACATCGCCTGGGTATGTCGAGTTTCAGGGTAAACGAGTCTGTCCGATGAGACACGATTTGAGACTGTCAAACCTATAAATTAACAAACGTCGATTAATTAATCGCCTAGATATCCCAAAAAAAGCAAACTTATTCTTATTTGTGGACGTAGGTATAGCAAATAATGAAGAGTATTTAAAGCTTCCCGTACTACGCGGTTACTATAAAGCTGCTCTTTAAGCGATCCTAGTGGTGTTTACACTTTAGTTTACCCTGAGATTCACATACTCACGACTACAGTGCCCTCTATCCGTGACCACCCATTTTGTATTGAAAGTATAGGGCGAATAGCAGTCCATGTACTATATGGTCTAAGGGCATAGATAGACGGTGGTTGATCTATCGGTCGAAGGTCCTAATCAGAGGGTTGACGCGGGATGTGTATCATAAATAATAAACGCGCGCCGCGTAATCCTTCCATAAATAGATATGAGCTCCATCTTAACCCTTCAGGCAGGATATGTCATCTCCAATGACGCATTCAACTCCAATCGCCGACTAGAGTGTTCGGAGGTTCAGGAGCGAGCTAAAAGTGCCGGCTCAGGGCGATGATCGCGGATAAGGAATCGCGATGTTTGTTTACATGACCCTTGAGGGCGAAAGACGACCAGTCGTCAGACTGAATGCTGCCATGCCATCTTAAACGTAGATTTCAGAGGACCGCTTCTAATGAAAGATGAGTTTACATCACATCTGATTTGATCAATTAATGAGTTATGACCAATAATTAGCCCCATTTAATTAGCTACTTCCCTTATTGTTTAAAAATACCACCCTTCCGGAACGTCTTACAAAAATAAAAATTAAAAAAAAAAATTTTATTTTATTTTTTTTTTAAATTTTATTTTATATTTAGTTTATGTCTATTTATTTTTAACATATTATTAAAGGCAATGTGAGTGTTCAGCATGTAGGTTTTCGGAAATAAGTCGAATTTTTAATTGGCGAGTCCAATGATTTATGTAATTTGTAATAAATATCTACGAATTTTGGTTGAAAGCAACAATAATGTATTCAGTATTTATTCTATTGCCAACCAGTATGAGTAACCAGCATACAACTTGAGACATAAAAGGAAGAGCTGAAAAGCTTTTGGGCAGAATCGTGCATGCGCAAGTGTGTCACTTTCATTTCCGGCTAACGGCTAAACTGATTGGAATCTAATCTGGTACACATATTCTTAGACATAAAAGGGCAGAATCGTACATACACAGCTGGCGGGAAACCGCGTGGGAAGGGGATGATTCACGGGGTTGAAATCCGCGGTGGCGCCGACGAACGGTATTTACGAAAACAGTGTCATTAAAAAAATATACCCCCCTGGCCCCTTGACCATGTAAAGGCACGCCACTTATCACAAATTAGACTGGGAGTCAACTTTTTATATATAAAGCACTTATCAGTCACTTAGGTGGGACAATTATAAATGAATAAACGAAGGCTATAGTATGCATAAACGTTTCTCTGTCACGCGCTACTTAGAATTGCGACAACCATACTGTTCCGTGTGAAAGAGAAGGACGCAGCGTAACAGTTGATCGTGATGTATGCATCGATGTGAGAGAGTGCATATGCGCAGCAGACAGAAATATTAATTAACATTAATGAATTAAGGGTAGTCTTGACTTTTGTTTAGGTAACTCATTTCCCATGTGTTTGTGATGTACCCAGGCCCGCCCCGAGAGACTGCGCAACTCAAGATTTAAATTCAAAACTTTCCCTCCCAAACTAACTGAACCCCATGGCACGGGATCGTCTAGATAAAGCTACCTAACCTGAATATCCGAATAATAGGACCATTTACTACGTTGTGTTTTTAAGAGTCGCTACAGATATGTGTTGCTTGTCGGAGTGAGGATCAAGTAAGGAGTACAAATAAAACAAGTACATGCTTTAAAAACGTAGATTTAATCCAAATACTTCGCATTGTATGATTAAATTTAGAAAATGGTAGTTCACCGAGTACAAATATAAAAATAGGCTGGGAAAAAAAGAACTGACCAAGAAAAAAACCCAGCCAACAAATTAATATTGAACTTTATAGCAAAATTAGTGGTCTGTAATGGCATAAATGCATATTATGATGGTTGTCAAGTAATTTAAGATAATGTTGAATCACTGGCTCCGCTGGAATTCCTAAAGAATCAATATTTCACACACATAACAAAAAAAACAATCATTAAAACATTACAATAAATTTATATAATAGGTTTGGATATTGGATGGCCAGTCCAAATCCAACACCAAGTAGTCTTTAGTAATCGCTAGGAGTTGACCTCTCAGAAGAGCATTTCACACAGGAAGGATACCCAACGGATACAAAACAAACAAAGGGCACAACGGGAACACGCCGTATGCTTTAGCAGATCCCTGCGCAAGAGAGGCCGGGACTTGCCTGCGTATGTGAACTTTAGCCAGCCTCTGCTACGACAAATCGAGATTAAATATCGTTATCAAATATCAATATCAAATATAGCACTGTACATATTCGAAACAAGTCACTCTGCCAAATATTAATAATCACCCGGTTCAAATAAATAGTAGGAGCATAACGTTATGTATCACATTACAACATAACAAAGGAACATGTCGTGGCAAACATTAGCGTAAAGTAGTTAATTCTCAATTCCAAGTGCAATATGTAACAATCAACCACCTAACGTACGTCACTCGCCCCCAGATGAAGCACCCTGTAAATAAACAGTAACATATTCATGCAAACAAAAGCGAAATGTGCTGCAATAAATTCAATTATAAATTAAAATGTAGTTCTGCATACTTGTATTGAATATCGCCCCTAAGGGAACATACTGTATCTAAATATAAATAAAAACACGTAAATCGGTCAGTAATTCATGTTGCCAGCGCTTGGAACAAAGGAGTACTGTAAATTGGAAAACAACATATTTATGTACTATGCATTTAATTCAAAGTATGACCAGTATAATTATTAAAAGTGCAATTTTGTACCTAGAATGCGTTATAAATGGCAATAATCATGCTGTACGAGAATAGAATTAAATTGCCAAATAATCGAACACGTACATATCATTATTAGATGGATGCAATAGACGTAGAGATAAAAAACCAGTACATCACCTTTGTAATTGTCGAAGCTACACTCACTATTCGCAACGTAAAAATTACTTCAGGCTTCAACAAAAGCACAATCCTAGAAGAAAATTGTTAATATCGACCATGCTTTGAGACGTCGGGTCGATAGGGATCATTAAGTTCCCTCGCATAGCGTAACATTTGACACTTTTATTGTAAATTATGGCCCATTTCAATGTAGAGCAGAGAAGAAAAAAACACGTGTTACACGGAAACGAAACAGCGCAATCTTGACTTTTTTTCGTCCTGCCAGGGTCGGTTTCGGAAATATTTAAATGGAATTTTAGCGGGCAAATTTGGTTCCATTACATGTTATATTATTAAGATTGCTGAAAAATGTATTTCACTCGGTAAACAGATGGTTGGCCGAAGGGTAGTCTTAGACTACTAGTATTGATAGCGGAATGAGTCATACGTTTTCTGATAATTTCAAAGTACAGTAGACTCAGTAATCTGGCAGATAACGGACAGGATACTGCCGGATTACTGGAAGCTCATCAATAAGAGCACTTTAAATGTACAAAACAAATGTTTTATTGTACCAGAACAACCAATAAAGGTCAGTATAATGGTGCATTATTCAAATACTTGCCATCTTTAGATAGTATTTGGGGGATTAATTATACTACCGACACAATTTTGCACAAAAGCTTTATTGAACAACCTTACTATTATATTCAACAATCCACACGTAGATATTTAAAAAAAAAGTAATAAACAACAAACATTTTCATAAAGATACAACAAAAATTGTATGTTAACGGTGATATATTTTCTACTATGTTCTAATAAAATGGCGAATCTAACTATCAACAGGGTTATAAAAGATATATAACAAAAAAAGTTGTGATAGCCAAGCCGCAAAAAGCGAACGTGTAGACGATAATAATGCGCACGCTTTTTTTGTATTGCACTTCTTCCAAGTATATCTTTTTATCTATGCTATATTTTCGCAAATTATTTAAAAGTAAAGGTTCGAGTAATATCACTTTGGCCTCGTGTACGTCGGCGTTACCGGGTTCGAAGTTTTCAGTAACGCTCGTATCTTGCTCCTCCACAGGAGATATTTCGTCTAAATTTATATTACGCCTACTTATAATTTTACTAACGTCGTTCGGTCAGTTCCTGGATGAAGTCTGTTTTGATTCTATTCTTTGCAAATCGTGTAAGACCTGTCAATAGCGGGTGTTTTAGTTACGAACAATCAATTTGTCCCTTACCTCTAATACGCACGACATGCTCCAGGCTTGTGTACGACAACTGTCACCGCAGTATGTGCCATTACTGTTTGTCAGCTCAGGTAGGCCGCGCCATACTGATGTTTGTAACTCGGTGAAATGTTTCGCGAGTATCACCTTAGTGGTTGCCACTGTTCGAACTAATTCCCCATTCTCCTCGGCAAAATGCAGTTTCGCTCGCAGGAAAAATCCAATGGGCCAGACCCATTCCTGCAAATAAATGGAAATTTTGTAAACGTTTTTCGCGGGAGGGGGAGCTGCAATGGCGGCTCGTCTTTGAGAATAGATGGTGACTTTGTAATTGTGGGACTGTAAACCTAAGACAGAAAATTGTTTACCAAGTAATCGTTATGGCAACCCTCTAATTCAACACCAGCTGAGAACACCTCATTCCTTTGAGTCAGGCATCCACGTACAGACGCTTACCGACGCCACCACCATCAGCTACCTAACCTATCCAGATGATAATAGACCCACTGCAAAAGCTTCAACCAGCCTGCGCACCTTCAGTGGTGGCCTATTTGAAGACCCTCCTTCAGAAGGCAGAAGTCTAACGAACAAATTCACGAAAAACACCTGCAAATCACCGACGCCCAATTATGAGGGGAAATTGCAAGATGGTGGAAGGCGTTCATTCGACCGAACCTAAGCCAAGAATTCTTTATACACGAGCAAAAGCCTGAAACCCGGTAGGTATTCCCATAGAGTAAATACAATAAGAGTTCCAGACGCTTATTAATTTGTGGCCACCTTCAAACACCTCATAAGTAGATGGCGATGTAAGCGTGAGAAAATGTTCATTCAGCGCCCCCTGTTATGTAGGACAGATCACTAAATTGGGTAGACCAATTTCTTTTGACTGTTATATTGCAACATGAAAGTCGCAAAGAAACTTTTTCAAAAGGTAACCGCGTGGTGATTTTTTAGTCTTCTTCTGCAGTTGTAGAAAGATGAGGAGTGTACTTATACCTACCGGGCCGCATAATTAACCATTCTTTAGGGACGGGGCTGCATGATGTGGGGTCGACGATATCCGGGCGCAATCCCCGAGCGTGGTTTACTAACATGGTGATTTTTTTTAGTTTTTTCCTATCTTCTTCTGCTGGAAAAACTGAAAAATCACCACGTTAGTAAACCACGCTCGGGGATGACGCCCGGATGTCACCGACCCCACATCATGTGGCCCCGTCCCTAAAGAATTGTTAATTATGCGGACCGGTAGGTACAAGTACACTCCTCATCTTTCTACAAGCGATCTTCTACGGGGTCTCATTTGCTGCCAGCCAGCTAGCCAACCGGCCAAAGTGAGATTAAAAGCCATCGTTTTACAAATAAATTTGCAAAAAAATACGTTAAAAAGAGATAATTACAAAAAAGTTAAATCACTGTTTGATGCTAAACAACGGCCTAGACGGTCCTAAAACTGTCGTCTAACCTCAAATTCAAATTCAATATGGGCACAGCTTTAGCCATATAATACGCAATGCCAAAAGTTGAGTCGAATCGATTCAAAACTTACAGTGCCCTTTTCGCATCTCGACCATTTATAAACCAAATTGCAAACTTTTTTATGTATGGAAGTATTTAAATGAAATTTGATACATAGGCACTTGGAATAAAGGAAAATAAAACGCCAGTTTCAAAATTTTGGTTTGCGCATGCGCACTGCCAACTTTCTTAGCATTGAAATGAAATTCTTCTTATAAACTGAAATTCAAGTAGGACGTCAAAATGGATTGCACATACGCAACGCTATCTTTCATATTTGTGGCCGGATTTTTACGATTTTAATAGAAGTTGCATCTGACAAATGAGAAATGAATGCAAGTGGAAATGCGCTTTTTGTAAATCGTTTACAATTACTTTTTTAACTTGTTGTCTTTATTATTGAGTGGGCGGGGTTCAGCTAAGGCTGTTCTACCACCCTAACCCACTACACATTTACACATACCCATGCCTGTACTCGGATTCGAACCAGGGACCCTTAGTACTGCAGTCCAGCTTCAACTCAACTGCGACACACGGGCCGGCTTAAGAATGATGTAATTATTGTTTGTAAAAACATCCAATCATATGTCTTAACAACACTGTTAGTTGACAACATAGTTAAGTATGCTGTATGGCTTTATATTACGGGGCGATAATCATTTTGAAATTAACAATTTTGTGTTTTGCCTGTTTCTTACCCGAGCGAAAATTTTGATTTTACCGTATTAAGTTTTAAAGTTTAAAAAGAGCACATGGCCAAAAATAAGTTACAACCAACAACTTTTTTTTAAATGAAAATACATTCTTATTTTCCTTTTGGAATTTTACATAGTGTTTCATGTACAGGGTGTCCAATTTTCGACACTTTATAGGCGTTATGGGCTCTTTTTGGGTCAAACTTGCAATGGCAAAATCAAAATTTGCACATTTTTGCTTCAGAGATACGGAGATAAATCAAACAATTTTCAATTTCAGAATGGCCGTAGGTATATATTCTTAGTAAAAACAGAAAAAAAAATGTTTCTTGAAAATTACTGAAATAATCTGCCGTTTTGAAAATAAATAATTATACAGTATCGGGTAAAAAAGTTATTGGATCTCACTTCATTTTATTTAAATGGCAAACCCTTATATTTCAATCTAAAAATAGCATATTAAAATCTGTTTTTTTAAAATATACCCAACACTGAAAAAATTCAATATCGATTCAAAAAAGATTTCTTAAAAATTCAAAAATTCGTTTGTAGTAATTTCTAATTTTTTCAGTGTCAGAAAAAAGTGCATGATCATTCCATATTGCCAACCGTAAAGTGTAAATATGATAGACATATCTTTAATTTTTAATTATAACGCAATTAATGGATTTTATTTAACGATTATTGCTCTGTTTTAAAGTTAAGTAATCAGTGTTTCGATATAAGAGGGTCGATATGCTTATTTAATGCACATAAGGTCAGTAGAAGCCCTTAAAGAGGACCTATTTAAAAGTGATCCTTAATGGATAGGGCGATAGGGGTCAATATTTCCGACAATAAAACAGACAAGTCCTGCAATTCGAATTTCGCGGGTTATTATGACGTAACCACTAATAGACTCTATTGGTTGTCGCATGTAAAAGTATAGGACCATTCCCGTAAAAGTAGTTCAACACGGCAAAAGTGGTTCCTGACCGACGGAGAACACGCAAAACCAGCACTAAAAAACGCAAAAAGTACAATCTTTGCCGATCTACCTTTCATTGCATTGCTGGTTACAGAATAGATATTAGAGCATAGTGGTCTGGTAACAATAAGATGCAAGTTGTCTTCCGTGTTGAAGAATTGAAAAAACAACTCACACCGGAGAGCCTTTATAATTTCAATTTCGAGATATCAAAATTAAAACCTCTCTTTCCTAATTTTTACGCATTTTGTTTTGTCATATTTCTTCGAATTAAGCGAAATATTTTTTACACATTGTATAGAAAGTGTCATATTTCATAGTAGATTAGATTGTACACTTGCAGTTGAGTGTTGACCATTACAGTAAATCTCGTAAATTGCTCCATTGCTGAAACCAAATAAGTACGTTGGGCGTTTGTAGAACTGTATTTCGGTTGAAATAATTGTATTTATGTCTTAAAATGTAGAGAAAAATTTTAATGAAACTCTAAAGTCAAAAGTGTACGTTTTTCTAAACTAGATTTACGAGAACGCATTTCGTAACTAGGCGCTCCTCGACTAACTAGCGCCATCTCAGAATGAAGGAACCGTATATCGGCACGCTAATGAACACACGATTTTCTATTTTTACGGTTAGTTACACTCCTTTAAAAGCAGATGACATCTCCTGAGCGAAATTAGCAATGCCCAATTTATCCTATTTGTTTGTAACTCTTATTGTATTTCCTCTATGGCATTCCTCACACTACTCGATTTACTGACAGTTTCTTGCAAGCACACATCCGCTGTCATCTCCGAGCTCATGCACCGAAAAATCTCATGCAGCTACAAAAACTGATCAAGAAGATCGAAGTAGATACGAAGAGTCAACAACCAACGATCCAGTCCGAAAGAACAGCCCTGAAGTCTTGACCCAACATTCTGAAGTGCAGATACTGGCCTGAGTATTACTTTTATTGAGAGCAGAAGTAGGGAATTGGACTGATGGCCCGACTCAACACCCCGCAGTCCAACTAATTCAAGTCAAGAAAGTCACGAGTTTGCCGATAAGGAGCTATTTGCCCTACTAAACCCAGGATCCACCCACAATATTTGCAGCACCAGAACTAGAACACCACCGGAATGAATAACCGCCACTAAGACTTACGATCTCGTTCATGTCGCCCCGCCAAAGATAGTTTTACCAGGTTGTGTACCAAGTGCCTCTGTCCTATTAGATAACAGACAACAAAGCAGCTTCCCGTGGGTCCCCTATAAAACAAACTGATTTAGCGACTGTCGTTCAACCATTCCAGCATTCCACATTTCACGCTTTTGCTTCATCTCCGATAGGCTATCTTTGGGCCATCAAGAAATTCCAACGGTCACGTGTACAGGGACTGACAAGAAATCCAAATTCCAACGTTTTAGACATAAATTTTGCAAAAGTTCCTTTTCCGCACCCATATATGGGTAGATAAATTGTTTTTATCACAGAAAAAAGTTTGTTTATCATTGATCTTACTGAAATTTTAACAGAGCGCACCTTTTAATACAGACAAATCGATCGATTATATTCAACATGTAAAAAACGGTCAACGCGCATGCGCACACCTGATGCGCAGACATTTTTTATATTTAAATGTGCATGTGAAATTTCTTACTTGTATTATTAGTTTTACCACGGAAAGAACAAACTAAACCTAGCGACTCGTTCAACGCTTTATAATAAGCGCACTTGGTGAACAGTAAGAGTGCACTTGAACCGCTTCAGTCTGGTGAACGCCGCCATTGTTTCTATGCTGCTTGTTTAAGTTCGCCCCAATGTGGCGGAGGGGCGGGAATTATAATAAGTTGTCGCTACTGTTCTAATACAGTCTCCGAGCGTCTCAGAATTAACTTTCCTAACCTTAAACCTATCATTGGATTTTGGCCAATATTAAAAACATAACACTTTGGCGCTTTTGTTCAGTCGCTCAAATAGTATTAATGAAAGAATCTCAAATTACTTACGGGCCCTTGATGATAATTAAATCCTTGTGCCGTTTTAAAATTATTCGAATCGTCCGCGTTGTTATAGTCACCACTATACGTCCAATCTTCTGGATCCAACGTTTTCATCCCTAGCGGACCTAACAGATACTTTTCCGCTTTTTGCAAAGCGACCCAGGCATGTTTGGGATTAAATAATTCGGGTGCCTAAAAATCTTAGTGTAAGGTGTGCCTAGGTATGTTACTTCGGTGACCAAACTTACAGCAACCATAGCAATGGGAAAATTACATCGTAATTGAAAATCAGTCCATTCCTGACTAGCGCCGTGACAATCTTTATAAATACCGCGTTTATTTACCAGATCTGATCTCGGTTCATCATTCGTTTTGCTAAGATCAACCCAAAAATGTCTTTCGAAACTGTTTTGAATTTTTTCAGCCCAAGCTTTAAACGTCCATGAGATAATTGTGCCACTTTTACTTGTACGTTGCACGCCTTGATAGGGGTAGGCCTTCTCATCGTACAACTTATCCAACCAACTGATCACAGCCTTCGAAAGTCCTATCAATTCAATGGCAGAACCGTCCCTAGGCGTCGCAGGTTTACCACGATTGCCGGCCTTATCCGACGAGCCCATTTTATCCATCCATGTACCACAATTAGACTCGTTACCACCAAATACAAAACCTAAATTGTTCCCCTATTATACTAACGGTGCTAGCTACAAAATATATGACTCACCTGTATCCGGATGAATACCAATTTGATTGTTAAAACCGTTTTCGGACATATGCGCGTCGATTTGTCTGCCGGCGTTGCGTTCGCGAAAACGCAAACCCTGAAAGTGAGTCCTTAACGATTCTTGCATCACTTCGTACAGAGGCTGATCCTCAACTCCCGCTTCTAAGGCGGGCGAATCATCTGAAGGAAATATTCTAGATACTTTGTCGGAAAGAATGTTTACGCCGTTAGGGGCCTCGTCGACGTAACACTTAATACAGTATAACCACCACCATATTGCGTCCCGACAATTAAATCTATACGACAGAATGAAGTTTTTAAGAGAAATTCAATTTTTAGATTAGGTTCATTTAAAGCAAACTGGGTGACAAAACAGTTCGGTTCAGAGTTGAATTGGTTAAATGTCTAAATAAACTACGAATTTTATATATACAGTGTGTTCCAAGGTAAGAATGAACAGTATGAGGAAATCGGAAACCATAAGAGATACACGGTCAGTTAAATTAGAAAGACGCTGCGTATTTTAGAGTTTAGTAAAATGTTATTTTAAAAATTCCGATCAGTTCCAAAAAACAGAAATTAACCATATTCGTCTTTTTTTCTCTGGTCCTGTTTGAAAAGATATCAAAAAATAAATAACACTTTTTAAGTTCTACAAGATGATGCCCACAGATTTTTACTGCAACGTTTCGTCTTTCAGAAACCATCATCAACTTCATTTTTTTATATCTGTAAGGATTGGAAAAAAAGTACATACTTTATTTAGTAGCGTTTTTTTATTACGAATATGTATAGCACAATATTATTATTTATTAGGTATGTCATTTAAAAGTACCATAAATTAATTATTTTGACATTTTATCAACGCCTACTACACCAAAATGTTAAAAATTTAATAACAAACTTGTTTTTCTGATTTAAATAAACAATTTTTAACATTTTGGTGTAGTAGGCGTTGACAAAATGTCAAAACAATTCATTGTGGTTCCTTTAAAAGTTTAAATGACATAATAAAGAATCATATTGCGCCATAGATCGTTGTATTTGTAACAAAAAAATACTACTCCAGCATCTTGTAGAGCATAAAAAGTGCCTGGTTTTTTTCGAAACTGATTGGAATTTCCGAATTTATAAAACATAATTTTACTACCCCTAAAATACGCATTTTCGAACTCATGTTGGAAGGCGCTATTATGGCCACTTTCTCCGTCCGTCCGAGGCCTTAACTGCTCCTACAGTTTTCAAGATATTTAATTAGTTCTTTTTGCATTCGAAAACTTATAGCTCGGGCACCTCAACCAAGAAAAATCTTGACGATTAATGTGACTGCGCAATGTCAACTTTCTCATTTATAGAGACATAGAGTATAGGACATTATTATCAAACGTTGAAGGTTTTTGGAGGAGCTAAAAGATGACAGCAAATAAACAGGATGTTCCATTAAAAAAAAGTGAGATTTTTAATATGAAGTTTTGTAACTTTGGATCTAGAAAAAAAACACCCTGTAAGATATTTTTTTAATGTTTTATAGTAGATGTATTTATTTGACTGTTACTTAACCCAGGATAAAAGATATAAAACTTGGAATCAAAATTTAAGTAATAATTTTGACACCATACTGACGCTTGCAAATTCCCAATTTTTCTTAAAAATCGAATAATCTTTAAAACCACTAGCTTTTCGGATATTAACCATATAATAAAAAAGACGTACAATTACACGTAGAATTCAAAAATACATTCAAATACAGGGGGTTCTATTAAAAAAAAACATTTGGGCGCCCTACTTTGTGGGCGCACCCTGTATAATTCCTAATATTTTTAAAATGTCAAGGCATTAAGTTACTCCGCGCAATCGTTGACTCACCCTGTACTTTTCGTGTTAAATTAATTGAAGTCGATGTGGGAGTAGAGCTATGTCCTTTTTTTGTACATACAATTTGTCATTTTACAAGTTGTTTTATTTAAATTGAACTTCAAAATTTTGTAGTTAAGAAACTCACATAGAATTGTTTATATTGTTTAAATTGTAGCCAACAACATTTGCATCATAAATAAAGCACACGATGCATTACATGTACTTTACAGTATTTATTAATTTGAAGATATAGTTCAGGTAACGTATCGATTTTGATTTTAATGGATTTTTGAAAATGGCCCTTTATCTGAACAGAACGTTCCCAATATTTATTGTCATAAATTTTCCCAAATTAGCTTTTGGATGTATCAACACATTATTTATTTACCACATAATGCAAACAGGTGTTTATATAGACAAAGCAAAAAAGGTGAGCTCATTCAACGAGTTAATAATCGAAGCTATTATAATGTAAAATTGTTAAATGCAAATTTTAAAAGAAGTGAGTACATATCCTAGGATCTAGAAGGTTACCAATACCCTAGAGCTATTCTCGTGAAATTAAGAGAGGGCAACCTTGATTTGAATTTGTTTTTTTTTATTTAATGATTTTACTTAAATTTCACTTTCCATTTCTTCTGTTTTATTTATGTTGGCCAATCTGACACACACATATCCTTGAGCAACTCATTTCGCAACACAACGTAGGTTCTATCACTAGACAAGCTTGTTACTTGACGATCATGTGCCATGCGCTTCAGTTAATTTTGGCGGGAGTTTTGATTTTCGTTTTGAGTTGGGGTCGTGACCCAAGATTTGACCTTGGTATGTTTTTTACACAAATTTCTAAATGGTGCTATTGATTGTCCTGAAATTCTTAGTTTGGTGGATTTTTATGTTCCTAGGACTACATGCGTCACTAGAAATATACCAGGCTTCAGAATTAAACAATTTTTGAGCAATGTGTCTAGGAATAATCCTTTAACCAGAATTTTGTCCGATGCAAACTATTTTTGGAAATTGCCGTGGTTTAATCTGTTTAATTCTGATTATCAGGCTTATAAAATTAAGCTCAAACGTAATATTGATTACTAAATATTTTTTATTTATATTCTTTTGTGTGATTCTAGTTTTCTACTTGTATTGTCTTTTAGCGAAGGTTTATTAGGTTGAAAATCAATGTATGTTAAATTAGCTAAGAACATGTTTTTTTTGTGGTATTTAATGTAATAGGTGAATTCCGTAAATATATTATTATTATTATTACAGAATTTTGGCGCCGTGACCAGGATTTGTATTTGGTTTACTACATCTATCAAAGTGTTTTTGAGTTAACGTGCGAACGGCTGGACGGACGGAAAGCTAGACGTTCAGACTTTTTGATTATTATGAGTAATTCTGACACAGAGGTGAGGGAATGTTTACGTTTAAACACAGTTTGAACTTGACGTCACCCACAATTCACTCTATTGTAAGCATTTGCATTTAACTTATCATTAATGATACCTACCTTGAATTTCTACCACCATCCAACAAATTCGGAATAAGCCCATGGCGTAAGCAAGCCGCATATCCCAGAATGTGATACCTTGCATCTTCATATCTACCCGTTAAGATAAACAATCCACGTAAAGCAATAAAAGTGTCTCTACCCCAACTTCTCATATAACCTGTGGAAAAGTGTGGCAAACCTGCCGATAAGGTAACGCAAGACTGCGTCATTTTCCCGTTTACACTTTTTGCGGGAGGTTGTGGTGGTGACAAGTTGGGCGAAAGTGTAGGCAAAGGTGCAGAATTGATGACGGCAGCAAGCTGTACAGAACCTAACGATAATGCGCGCACAAACGTCGAACCATGCTTTACAAAGCTGAAATGCAATTATTTTGAAAATGTTTAACTCTTCACCTACATACCCTGACATGGATGCGTAACACTGATCTAATAAGAGCATATAAATTCCAGTGACTAAAACGTCAAAGTAGGAAGGAACCAAATAACGTGGAATATTTTTGAGGTGTACAAAACTATTCTCCATCCAAACTCCTAACTCTTTTGTCGCATCGTCGACTTGCAACCTTTGCACAACGTAATCTACACAATAAGATTCCTTACAACCCGATAACATTATTTAACCATATCTACCTATCATCCAGTTGCCGTCACGCAAGTTTCCACACATCGGATGCCCTAGATCGTTCGATGGTCTTATGGTGCTCAAAAGTGACATAAAACCTTGAAGACCGCAGTACACCAATGATCCGAAATTCGGAATATTGTAAGCGCCAAAACCGTGCCCTTCATCTTTCTCCTCCTGGTCGCACCTGTACAAAGTTCGATTTAAACTGTTCAAGTCCAACTGTTTGATTATTTTTTGTAACTCGGTGGTCTTCTTCTTCGAGAATGAAATTAGCAACTCTCGTAGTTTTCCAATGGATTCTTCAACATTTTTTTGGAGAGATACCCTGTCAAAATTATATATTTAGTATTAATATACGTGGTCCTGCAAGAATACCGTCTTTGTTTGGAATAAAATTGTACGTTTGAATGAGTCTCTCTTTAACTGTAAAAGTAGATAAAGTGATCACTTTAACGGCAAGGGTAGATAAAGTGAAACAAATATCGTGGATTCTAATGACATGTCATTCTTATTAAAAATGGGGCACGGGGCACGAAATAAAATGTAGTTCAGAAAGAATGCAATATTGCTTCCATGGAAACGACTATACAGGGTGTTCTTTTGGGAGCTTTAGTTAAACGTTTCTGGGAAAGTAAAATAGGTAAGTTTTTAAAAATTTCTACTTAGGAGTTACTCTGAAGGTCGAATCAATATAGAATATTTTCAAAATCGCCGCACTTCCGGAAACACCGGAAGTAGATAGTAACTTATTTTAAATAGCAACCCTTATTTTTTATTGCATTTTTGGATTCTACGTGAAATTTCAGTTCTTTTGATCCCATATGTCGATATCTGCCATTTATGGTTTTCAAGTTATTTATTTTGACTAAGAAAAAAAATGGCGGATGCAGATGGTACCTTGATAATTGATTACTTGAAAACGGTTGTAGAGAATGAATAGAATGAGATAAAGAATCGAAATGGGCATATTTTGACAATCCATGTTCCTGTAGCTATCTTTAACAGTTTCTGACTTATTTCTATATTATTGAAATGACACTATTTTTTTCGGATTTTCTTTTTAGTAGTCGGCCATGATTTTATAACAATTGAATTTTTAACAAATCTAATGACACTAATCCGTCACCTACTGTTATAGGTTAGCACAAGTTTTTCAAAAATCGAAAAATGACTTGCAATGGTTTCACCTATTTTGGAATTTAAATGTTATTTATGGTGAAATGGACAGAATCGCGGCACATGCTTGTTGTACATTCATTGGAATACTGGAACGAAATTGTATGAATGCACTACAAACCGTTGAAGCACAAAAGCACAAGTGATACAAAGCTCTACAAGAGAATATTTAAGAAAATCAATTGAATTACAAATTCAAGATTAACTAAATAAATTCAATGCAAATATAAAAAACTTCGTTGAAACATTTTTGGTATGGAATTGTTGCTAGAACAGATATCGCATTACCTCGCTGAATTCCCAGACTTATACGTTGTTTAAGAGATTCAGTTGAACGACTCTCTCTAGATTACTCCAAAATTTTCCGTCCTATATCCTTAATAAATGAATAATAAATAATTAATGAATTATTTAGCAATGACATTAAAGAATCCTTTCCTTGATTTGTTTAAAATTCGATTGTTATAAAATCATGGCCAACTACTAAAAAGAAAATGCGAAAAAAATGGCATCAATTCAATTAAATGGGAATAAATCAGAAACTGTTAAAGATAGCTATAGGAACATGTAATATCGAAATATGCCAATTTCGATTCTCTATCTCATGCAATAGTAAGAACATGGTCATTCCATTAAAAAAACTGAGTTTTCAGTCTTTGAAGTTTCTTAAATTTGGATCTCCATAGGTGCGGTCGTACGCAACTTAACTTTTTTTTAGGTACATTAAAAGAAAGCCCTATTCATTCTCTATGTACTGATAAAAATGGGTTGCCATGACTATAACCTTTTTCAAGTAATCAATTATCAAGGTACCATCTACATCCGCCATTTTTTTTCATCAAGTCAAAATAACTTAAAAACCATAAATGGCAGATATCGACATGTGGGTATCAAAAGAACTGAAATTTCACGTAGAATCCAAAAATGCAATAAAAAATAGGGGTTGCCATTTAAAATAACGAAGTTACCATCTACTTCCGGTGTTTCCGGTAGTGCGGCCATTTTGAAAATATTTTACATCGATTCGGCCTTCAGAATAACTCCTAAGTACAGATTTTCAAAAACCTACCTATTTTACTTTCCCAGAAACGTTTAACCAAAGCTCCAAAAAAACACACCCTGTATAGAGCGAAGGGAGACAGATGTATGGTATTAATGCCTGGGTCCACATGTTGATACAGAGTAACCTTGGGAACAAGAAAGTTTCTAGAAGGCGTTAAAAGCTCTTGGGACGTAAGAAGTGAATTCTGATAGGTGCTGCGAGTGTATTCGTAACCTGAGCCAGCTTTTGGAAAATAATAACATAAAGCTGACACGGCTGCCCATACAGACTGCCCATTAAGGGTAATGAAATGGTCAACAGACTAGTCAGAAAAGGTTGATACTTACCTTTTTATACCCCAACCGGTATGTGGAATTGCACATGTAACGGTGGGAAATGAAAGTCAATAGAAAGAATGGTTGGAAGCATAATGGAGGACAATTTTAGTCAAGAGACAAGGCAAAACTATTATACCAAACGTAACAGCTCCGTCCAAAGGGCTAAAGACTTACTAAAGTTTAGTACGAATTATATATCTTTTGACTGGTCTCCTAATAGGTCTCCCACGCTTACGAAAAAGTTATTCAGAGTGTTGTCGTTCGAGCGTTTATCGCTTATGGGAAGGGTTTCTTACCCTTTAAAGGGCGATTTTCCAACAGTAATTCGAACGAACCCAGTGTCATCTAAATTGAGCTTCAAGTGCAATTAAAGTAAAAAATGAAGTTCTAGAAGCAACATCAGATGCTTTTTGTATGTGTTTGTGCATCAATTATAGAAAGCGCAATTAACCAGATGTTTTGGATTATTAACCCTTGAAGGTAATTAAGATTTCTTTAATTAATTGTTTCAATAAATCGCTTGTTGCGTGGTATGTGTACTCTGACCCTGAGTGCCTATTTTTATTTCAGGCTTATTGATTGATTACTTTCCTTTGAACACAGAAAGATGTAGAAAACGACGGTATATTTGCAGGATTTTATGCAATTGGGTTCATACTTAATAGCTACCACACTTCCTGGTTTGAAATTCTTAAAGTTTAGCTTGGTAATGTTCGGATTATCTGTTTGTCCCAGTTCAAATACATCAGAATTAACCAGTTGAATATGTTGCTTAATATCGACTTCATACTCGAGCAGCCCATTAATCCATTCGCCATCCTTGATAAAACATTCTGGTGAAGAGTACTTCGATCCTCCTTGGCTGAAAGAGAAGACAGTCAAATTCTGATTCAAACAAAAGACACGTTTCTTACTTGACGCCGTCATGATTCAAGGTAGCTTCAAGAATGATTTCATCTAAATTTCCTTCTACGACTAGCGATTTAATTGATCGCTGTGTAACTGCGGCATTCGCGTTAGGATGACGAAACGCAGTGAACGCTACAAGAATTACGCTTTCATGCGTGTCTGGACAATGACGAGTTACTGTTACAATATCTTCATCAACTTGATCGACATAAACCTACATGAGAATTGCGAGCTATTAGCAACCCAAAAAAAGTGTCCTAACCTGACTGAAATTTTCTTTGCCCAACTTGTAATGGAGGTCGTTAAGGGCCCGTTTCGCAGATATAATGCCAGAATTAAATGACACATACTTTGAGTTTTGTTTTGCCAAACTCATATCGTTTGTCCATTCAGTATATTGGCGTCGTTCGTCAACGACATGGATCTATAAAGTCATACATAGTAAGTATTTTTCCAATTAGAGCTACAAGAATAAATTAGCAACTTTGGATCACACTCTGACATCAAACAATTGAGGTGTTCAACAACATATCATTTTTGAAATAGAACACTTTTGGTTTTTATTTTTCTTCTTGTTCTTAAAATGTGATAATGTGATGCGTGAAATGTTTAATGAGTTTCTCAGAAGATGCAAAACGTTCCTAAAAAAAAAAGACACGAATTTCATTACTCACGTGATGGTTTACAAGTTCGTCATAACCTCGACTTGAACCACTAGCGCAACAGGCCATATTAACCAGAGCCGAACTTGGTAATAAATCAAACACAGACCGTTTATCGACAGGAGACGGATTGTCGTGAGTTAAATCCAAAAATAAAGCATGCGCGACAGACGGAACTAATGGTCTGAAGTACGGTTGGAAAAAGGCGCCCACAGGTTCACCACCGTAGCGATAAACTAAACGGCCCTCTTCGTGCGAATCCCAAGCCGACATAGCCTCTGTTCATATTTTTGATGTAAACATTTCATTAAAAAAATTTGTACAGTTACCTCGAATTAATGACGTAATCCCTAGTCGATTGACGAAAATGTTATCAGTGTGGTCCGAGTTGGTAAACAGTTCGGCTACAACGTACAGGTCGGGTCTCACCCGTCGAGCACAATCCAATAAGTATTCTGCTACCTGCACAGATAAACATTTTAGAAAAACATTTACCGGTTGTAGCAGTCAAGACTTACAGGTATAGGAGTGGAATGGCAGTTGTCTAATCGTACACCATCAAACACTTTTGCTGTCAGTTCCACATATTCCTTCATATGGTTCCACAGGAAAGGCGAATCCTCTGGTTTATCACCAAATCTGTAAATCAGAATAAGATGTGATTACTCCATTAAATATCAGTTTTTAGCGCATTTCCACAAAAATAAAAACAAATGCGATATTGTGGCCACTTTGTCCGTCCGTCCGTCCGCTCGTTCGTTGAGCCGCTACTAGTTCTTTATCTTAAGAGCTGTTGTTCTACTTTTTTCGCTATTTGGTTCGTTATGGTAATAATTAGGGGAGCTAGTATTGACTATAAAGAAATTACCATTGAAATTCCTATGCTGCGTCGCGCTAGGACCACCCTGTATACATTATTATATTTATATATAAGTAATTTATGGCCAGTAGTCCAGTATAGATATTCTGTGTCACATACATTGTATGTATCCCTTATGTATATTAAAAATACATCTGATCATATACCTCACATCTCCTCTCGTTGATATTCTATGTATATATGTTACCTATACAATACCTAGGCAATGGCCCGTATGAATAAAAGTAAGCAAATGCTTATACTTGCAAAAGTCAAAGTAAATACTCGTAAGTGCTCCTTCGCACTGGGCGACTTATCAGCGCTTCTAAGCAGAAGGACAGGACACAGTGCAGCGCTGCTAAACCATGCTAAACAGACCAGTATGAAGGGGCAGTTACGAGTATTTACTTTGAATTTTGCAAGTATAAGCATTTGCTTACTTTTATTCATACGGGCCATTGTGTGCAATTTCGAGTTTGTTTAGAAAATATGCACATTGGCTGGTCCTTGTAATAAATTTGAGATGTATTTTCCTTTAAAACTTAGGGGAAGGGAAACTACTTCTGCCATTGGGAGGGGCTGTATAAAAAATGGTTCCTACTCTCTATTAAACACATTTTCAATACAACACATTTTGTTTTGGAAAAATCATTACCAACTTCATTTTTCTATATGGCCCGTAAAAAAGTACACACTGTATTGAGTAGCATTTTTTATTACGAATAGAATGATATATAGCACACAAAAAAAACAAGAGTTGGAAACTGTTGGGTTCAACAGGATGGTGCATCCGTGCACAACGCCATCGTACAAATTTCCTGGAAAATGGAAAATATGTTTGATAAATATTTGCACCCGATTAAGATGTTGTGCCTGGTTGCACCATCCTGTTGAAACCAACAGTGTCCAACTTTTGTTTTTTTGCGTCCCTTATATCGTATTCGTAAAAAAAATGCTACTCAATACAGTGTGTACTTTTTTGACGGGTCATATATAAGATGATGATTTCTCCAAATGCTAACGTTGTATTGGAAATCTCTCAACGGTGTCTTGTAGAGCTCAAAAAGTGGAATGAGAAAGTGTTTTTTATTTTTTTGTATCTGTTTGACGTTAGAACGTTTGAAAAAAATAAGAACCAAATCGACACATTTGTAGCCGGAATTTTTTCGTTTTCTTTGAAGCATGATAATAATTGTTTAATTGCGCAACTTTTCCCTAATTTGACCATCGTCGTATCTTCTATGGTTTCGGAGATCCCCATGATAGACGTCCTTATTTTGGACACAGTGTATACGTGTTGGATGTTGTGATGTTTTCTGTATTACCGACGTACTATCGTTAGTGTCGCGTTTTCTGTGAAGTTGATAGGGAAAGCAAAAAACGTTGAATTATCAAGACTTTCAATCTTCAGAACTTCCCTCATTTTGCAAAGCTCAAACCGCACAGGAGATCTGGTATATTAATTATGAGATAATCGAGGGACATTACTTCTGGCGAGAACCGTACATACAATGGACATTATCAACATACTTTGCCCCATTCTATGGCTAAAAACACACTAGCCAGTTTTCGCAGAGTCAGCCGCCAAATAGGCCTCAGCTTCAGCAGATTCAATGTAAAGAAATGAACTCGTTCCGGTGTCCCATTTTCGACAATTATAGGGTATCTCCATAAATGGTAGTACATACTATCAAAAGTAATATATGCGTCCTGTGCTGCTTTTGGGTCAAACTTAAAATGGTAAAATCAAAATTTGAAAATATTCTCTCGGAACACCCTATATATTTTAATCCACAGAGATAGGATATCAAATTCTTTGTTGAAAAATATAACACCAGAAATTAAAAAAAAATATTTTTAAAAAGTAAAGGAATTAAAAAAATTCACACAAATTTCAAAAATGTTTTTTAATTCTTTTTGAATCAATATTGAGTTTTTCTGAATTTTTTTAGTGTTATATTTTTGAAAAGGATTTAATATGCTACCTTTTTAGATTTAAAAAATGAAAAATGCCGATTAAACAATTATTATAAAGAAACGTTTGTGATAGACACATTTCCGATAACTTAATAAACAATAAAGTTATAGGCTTTTATCTAAAAATCGAAAAATGCAACTTTTGTCCATAACTCAAAAACAAAAGACTGTTGGCCAGTTTGGTTTGCAACATCTCAAAAAAATACAGCGAGACTGAGAGGTCCATTTTTTTCTATCACTTTAAGAGTTACCTTATACTAACGAGCAAATTTGGTCTACCTGAAACTACATACAAAACCTTCTACGCATATTTTGAACGTATTTTGCAAAAGCCAGTAATAAGATTTACATAGAGCACGTTTTAACATGCTATAACTAAATATGATAATGTTTTATGTTATGTTTCATCACTTGTAATCAATTAAATTTAAGCAAGTAATTTATTGTTGCGTAAACTACGCCATGTGAATGTTTTATTTGGCTTCAGCACAGATAATAACGATGGGGCACCCTGTATGGGAATTTCATTTATTGTTAACGTTAAATGTTGGTTGGAATTTAGGATTAAGCACAATCTCTGCCATATTCGTTAAATTCGAGTACAATGTTGATGCATCATAATTATTTAATTATTCGATGTTTGATTTTATTGAAATGTGTTGTTTTTGCAATTATAAATTTAAATTACCTGTTAATATACATAAACATCTGGAAATTATTTGTGTAGCATTTATAAAAGTTTATCTCATGTTGGTCTCCGGGCGTTGATAAGAAGTTTTCTTATCGCTACAGAACATTAGTCTAAAGATAAGGCCGAAATTTAACACAGGTGTAAATTATTCTTAGGCGGCGTGTTATTTTTATAACGGAAGGAGGAAGAAATAAATGGAAAGGGAAAAAGTTTTAAATAAGCGCACTGTACGTTAAGCGTGGCTCTTATGGGTGGCAGACCTCAATCGAGTTTTTTTGGACGTTGAAACGTAGCCCTATTTGGGCGTATTTGTCTGCAAAACGGTCAGTTTTGTCGTTACCGAGGATTTTTGAAGACACAGTCAGTATTGTTTAATTGTGAAGTTTACGAAGAAGTCAGTCAAATATACAGTAGAACTTTGAAGTTGAGAAATATTACGCCCTTAACATTGCCATAACTAAATTAGTATTATCGTAATCCATAAAAAGATAAATAATTAATTATACATACCTTAACTTTACACTATCGCCCCACGCAATCAACTCTCTTCTAATGTAGACGTCAGAGTCTGAATCCGCGAAATTTTTCATAGGATCGGCGTCCATAACCCATCCATTATGAGCCATTAAATACTTCGAATTTGGCCCGTACATTACCTCTTCAAACTCTTTAATGGACTTGGGTTTGCCGTAATCGGTAAAATAGCTGTTTAGAATGCAATGGTATGGATTAAACCAACGGGCAGCGCGCGCAACTTACCGGAATGTTAACGGTTTGTCGATGCTAATCTCAACAAACCTCGGGCCGTCCGCTTGTACTCTAAAGTAGCGAATACCGGCAATACAGTTTTCGACAGCCGCATGCAAGTGACCATTAAGTTGATCTACAACATTTCGGTTAAGCTCGTCCAGTTTAAGCTTAAATTCTTCCCCGCAACGTTTTAACCTTGTGTCTTCATCGAAGGCGTCTGATCTATAACATTTTCGTTTTAATTTCTGCCTCTGATAATGGATTAAATGTACCTATACACATTGTATAATTCTACTGCCAGCTCCAAATCGACGGTCGCCGAAAGGCGTCGATATAAAGGGTCTCGAATTAGTTTTATTTCTCTCTCTTGATTTCTCATTTGTGCTGTTGAAGGATGTTTACGTGCCAGATCCAAAAATTCGCTAACCAATTTGCCCACATTACAAATGAACATTTCCTGCAGTTTGATTTCGGGTAACACTTTCGTAAATAAAGCGTAACGGATTGACTAAAATGAATATTAAACTGAACTAGAATTGAGCTAGCATCCCCTTACATTTATGTGGTCTTCAGTGCAAACTTCTGGAGGTATACCTTCGCTCTCGTAAACGCCTTTTTTGACATCCATTGAAAATTGGTGTAGAGTTGCGTCTAAAAGGTAGGCAGGCCTCATGTATGGACAATTTAGGCAATTGTAAGTACTTTCGGGATGTTCTTGTAACCATTCGGTTTCGTTCGCTGTGTGATTTAATACAATATCGCAGAGGGATAATACCTATAAGTCAATAGAATATTAGGTAACAGGAACGGGGTAGAAAAAAACTTTTACCTTCCACTCGGTGCGCATCTTTTGCGTGAAATTTTCGATGTCGGCGAAAGTGAGCTTCTTATCGTTGTCATTAAAAGTGGGATTTAATTTTAGCTGCGCACTAAGGCTGTACGCGGAGTGAGATTTTCCTAGCTCCTAAATAAAAAGTCCAATAATTATAATCTACGAATTCGGTAAATTCATTTTCTAACACCGCTAAACTGATTGTTGAAATGAGATTGGATATCCAATAAGTCAAATAAATCAATTACGTTTAAAACCTGTACTGGTGGTTATCTTTCAACCTCGTCTCAACTGTTGCTTAATAATTATTTTGTTAGCAAATAAAATCCCGTGCAATAGGACACTTTTGTGCTGTATCTAAACGTACATGCTACCATCGGAAATTTTTATGGTCTATATGTCGCAGCCGTTTAATGAAATTGGACATTTCATGAAAAGTCTAGTCATTTATATGAAACTGTGGAACAGTTTACTTTCCAAGACCAAGCGATTGGATTCCCTTCCCATTAGAGATCGATAAATGGTATCCTTATCGATCTAGAAGGGGAAGGGAAAATACCCCACACGTACAAATTTTCAGCGTTTCACTAAATGACTAGGCCTCGGACTAGGCGTTTCGTGAAATGACTGATTTCACTAAAAGACTACGACATATACACTACTGAAAAATATTTTGACCATTTGCATGGATTAAGTTTTATACACTGTGTCCAACATAAGCATGTCTATCATGGGGATCTTGGAAACCATAGAAGATACGAAGATTGGCAAATTAGAGAAAAGTTGCGCAATTAAAGAGTAATTTAAAGAAAAACCAAAAAATTCCGATTATTTCCGAAGATATGTCAGTAAAACCGAAATTTGCCGATTTTGTCTTTATTTTTTTCTAATGTTATATGAACTATACAAAAAAATTAAAAAAAAACACTTGATCATTGCTACTTTTTGAGCTCAACGAAACAGCGTTGAGAGATTTTGAACACAATGGGCCGTATGAATAAAAGTAAGCAAATGATTATACTTGCAAAATTCAAAGTAAATACTCGTAACTGCCCCTTCATACTGGTCTGTTTAGCAGCGCTGCACTGCGTCCTGTCCTTCTGCTTAGAAGCGCTGCTAAGTCGCCCAGTGCGAAGGAGCACTTACGAGTATTTACTTTGAATTTTGTAAGTATAAGCATTTGCTTACTTTTATTCATACGGGCCAATGTTTTGTTTGTAAAAAAAAACAAACACTATATTGAGTTAAGTTCGGTAGGTATACACCTTAGACCATAGTACATGAACTGCTATTAGCCCTATGCTTTCAATACAAAATGGGTGGTCACGGATAGAGGGCACTGTAGTCGTGGGTATGTGAATCTCGGGGTAAACTAAAGTCGTATGAACACCACTCGGATCGCGTAAAGAGTAGCTTTTATGGTAACCGCGTAGTACGGGAAGCTTTAAATACTCTTGACTATCTTGTATACGTCCACAAATAAGAATAGTTTTGCTTTTTTTTGCATATCTAGGCGATAAATTAATTGACGTTTGTTAATTTATAGGTTGACAGCTCACATCGTATCTAATCGGACAACTTTGGACAAGCTCGTTTACCCTGAAACTCACATACCCAGGCGATGTCCTTGACCATATTTTCGTTACAATTAGCAGTGCATGTACTATATGGTCTAAGGTATACACTCACCAGGCTCCACTAAAATGGCTGACATTTTTGCAACCTCTGTCTATTTTGAGATGGCCTTATTCTGCGATTGAAACCTTGGTAATAAAATATCATAGTCTCGGGCATTTGACATTAGGTTCATACTATCAAATTGTTTCTGAATCACTGAACATGAAAGTTAGTGTGAGTTCGCCATTTTTTTATGAACTTCGCGTGTAAAGTACCGGTTTTTAAGATTATGTTACAAATTTATACTGTGGTCAAGCTCTTGGAGTACCCATATTCAATTAATACGAGAGCAAGACAGAGAAAGTTTATAATTAACGATGTCCTTTTCTTCCAATTTTTTATAACAAAGCTTTGCTTAGTATTCCGCTACAACTTCAGAATTCTACACTTCCGTGAAAATAATAAAACATACAAATTTATTCTGATATAAATAAAAACAAACGTAAAGCTCTGTAAAAATAAAAATAAATAAAAAAACCAAGTATTTGGAGTAGAAAACTCATATCGCTCCGCAAAAATCTGAGTTTAGGACGTCAACATATTGTTGTGTTAATTTATGTAGTTCGGACGATGTTTAATTTTTGTTTATAGTAATTTTTGTTTTGTTTGTTTAATCGTAAAGATGATACGTGTTATAGGTTAAGGAACGTTTCAAAATTATTGCGGTTATATTTTAAAAGTTTATCTCGTGTTTTTCTCCGGTCGTAGATAAGATAAGTTAAGATGTTTGTCGCAGGTGCGCGTTTAGATAACATTTGTTTATTGTAACTAAAGAATTAGGAAGTGGAATCTAAGATGGGGGGAGGCGGAGTGTGTTAAATAGAAGTGTTGTCACGTGGCCTTTTGCAGTTCGTCTTTGGCCTTTTCCCCGTCGCCGTGCTTTAGCAATTGGGTAGAGTCGGGTCCATTTGTGCGAGTCGTGTAACTTTCTTCTTTGATTTTCGGGTGTTCCACCTTGTTGTTCCTTAATAACTTTTCGTTCTTTTTTCTGTCAGACTCAAGATTTCAGATTTGAAATGTATTTCGAAACAAATGTTAGATTCTGCAGTAGCGCTAGAAGACAATAAATCTGTTTTATGATGAGTCTCATTTATTTTAATTTCTTCAATCACAGTGACCTGGGCCGAAACTATTTTCCTCTACATTGGGGAAGTCTGCAATATCTGATGACGTACTTTAGCAATTAATTTCCGTTGTCAGCATTAACAATTTGGGAAAGGTTCTTAACTCGCAACTATAGACTGGAAACTCCCACAACCAGGGCCCATGTTACCCTTCTGAGGGGTCAGACTCTGCTAACACCAAACTCTTCGGTTTGGAATATATGTACGGTATGAGTTGCAATCCACTAATTTCCTCATATTCAGTAGATTTAAATGTTGATTTTGCCGTACAAGGCCATGTAATTTTCCATTTTGCTTTTAACAGAAGAGTTTTATTGCACCAAAGATGAATCACCTGTTGTAAGCTACCTTTTTTTATTACCTGCTTGTATCCCAACCGTTCTTTGTTTTGCAACGTGCAAGTTGTTTTTTTTTATAAGGTTTTATGTATGTGATTTATATTTATCATGCTATATTATCAATCAATTTAATATTGCTCATTCGATAGACTCGATAGACCAGTGTTTCTCAAACTTTTTTGTCTGGCGGCACACTAAAATTATTAAACAAAATTCGCGGCACCCCTAAGTATTATTATTTTTTTGGTTTTTTACAGTTAGTACAGAGATGAAGGATGAAAAGTCTTTACAAAAAAAATTTCTGAACACAAAAGCATTTAAAACTAGTTGTCAGGTAAACTCCTGACTTGACGTTCCGACTACTTTTAATAGTAATTGCAATTATCTTTGGTATAACATATAGAAAATGCCCTCTAGCGCCTTTATTTTGAACCCGACGCAAAAAGTGTAGAAGCCTTTTTTGTAGACACATCTTTTTTTATAATTGACATTTTTCACTCTGATGCATACTTTTGGAAAAAAAAAATTTTAAAAATAAAAAAAATAGTTTAACTTTTCAATAAATTCAAAACTTCTCAAAAACAAAGGAACTCACAAAAAATTGTAATGAACTTTTTTTGTAGTTTTTTAAGCCATTTTGGCCAGTGTATGCGGAAAAAATTTAAAAAAATGTTTTCAAGCCGTTACGACTCTTTTAAAATTTTGACACCCTCAACAAACTTGAAGATGGTTACGGATCAAAACCAAAATAGGACGTTTTCGATTGCCCATACCACCCTAATGCACCCCAAATATAGGTTATAAGATTAAGAAAGTCTGATGTAATGCAATACCAGCATATGATTGATTAATGAATTATGAACCATAGAAATAAATAAAATAGAAACTAAAAAACAGAATTGTAATAAAAAACGAATATTCATTTTTTATAATTATTTTAATTCCTTTTTTAATTTATGTAATTTTAAGTAAATATTTAAAAATTTCCCGGCACTCTTATGAAGTGCTTACGGCACCACAAGGTCCCGCAGCACCCACTTTGAGAACCACTGTGATGCAAACACTTATGCAAAATACGAATTATACTGTTAAGCCATTATATTGTTTTATTTAGTGTTCCTTCTCTACTATACTTCAGGTCATAGCGTGTTTCACAACTAACGTAAGGGGGCCCTGCCTTAGATGTTTGATCACGTGCTACTTTTCGATTTCATATTTAAACGAGATCTGTTTAGCTTTTGGAGGAAATACCCATTCAGTGGCCATTTTTAAACGTTATCAAGTTGATTTTATTTCCGTGCTATTTTGTATGTGAGGTTAGTGTAGAACCTGGAAGGAGTACACACCAAACTTAACATAAGTATAATAGCATTACACTCTTAAGTGGCAGGAAAACCTATCTCCAGCCTACACATTGTGAGGCCCCGATTCCACTACTGGAGAAAGCAATTATGAGCGTTTCACACAATGCATACACACCACCAGGAACCAGTAACAATTGAGTAGGGGATTATGCGCCATAGAAGTCGCAAGTAACAACATTTTCGATGAAGGCAAAAACCTACATGGTGTAGCGAATATTCCAGAAATCTCGATAGACATCGAGACGCCATGAAAAATTAGTCATCGGCGATAAAGTCCAAAGGCGGATGTGACGCAATTTTTCCGGGAAATATGAGGTGTTTGTTCGAGAACATTTTAAAATACTCGGGAGCGTTCGAGATCTTTCGAGAAATAGAGGCGTTTGCTATATAAGCGAATCGAATTGCATTTTAGTCAGTTTTAATTTCAACACCGAAGTAATAAATAATTCGCGCTGTTATAAATTGTGTATTTGCGAGTTTCAATAATATTGAGTTAGAAGTTAGACGGAGCTTGGCATCACCTCTAATGACTAAAACTATCTTGGGAATAGAAAGTAGCTGAGTCCACCCGTGGACTTCCTCTTTGCTATATACCTCAATGAAAAAATTAAATTAACCAAACAGTTCGAAAAATCACAATGGACTTGCGATCAACTAACCGTCAGCCTTTTCCGGCGGCAAAGGAGGGGAAAGAGCAGCGTGAAGCAGGACTTATCACACTAGACCTTGACATTTTTTAGGAGGGAATTTAAATAGAAAACGCCCGACTTACCCGTCAAGGGAGATAGATTTGACCAAAACGCGAATATTGCCATAATTTTAGTCATACAAAAGCCGACTGCCGGAAGTTGACCAATCTCGCACGCCCATCAGAATCATCTGCGGAAATCCTGCCCCAAGTAGTACCACAAGTTCCTCGGCGAATGCTCAAAAAATCAATTGTTTAGGGTGTGGCAATCCTGGCTATATTCAAAGCAACTGCCGCACATGTAACACTAGCGGCCAAGCCTCATCTTAATCGTTCATGTCTTTTAATATGGCGAATTTTTCTTCCTTGTTTCCTACCGGTGCGAAACAAGAGCGAACTATGTTACCAATCCGTCCCTAAAAAAACCGATTCCTATTGCGTCTGTGTCGATTACCAGAAAATTAACGCAGTTACGATCCAGGATCGTTATCTGTTACCGCGCATCGATGAGCTGTTGCAAGCCGCCAAGAAAACCTAATATATGACTACGCTCCACTTAGGGTCCGGTTATTAACAGGTTCTGATAAAGGAAGAAGACCGCGATAAGACTGATTTTACGTAATGTTTCGGAAATTTTCGTTTCAAGCGAATGCCGTTTGGGTTGAGGAACTCACCTTCAACTTTTTAGCAGGTTAATAGATCGCCTTCGGTCTGAATCAAAAGATAATCTAGTCTTAGCATACCTGGACGATATTATAGTTTTATCATCAACAATTGAAGAACATCTAGCAGACCCCCCATGCTCTCAAATCGTTCAATTAGTATAACAACATGGATAACTCCCTTTCACGGTTTAATTGATTACTTGCATATACCTCTTTTAATCGCTAACTCAATAATTTTAGTATACAAACAATATCAATTATTATAAGCAATTAATAATACTGACCTGAACTGGAGTAAAATGGATCATATTATATCCAGATTCTTTAGCGACCCTTAATTTATTTTCCCAAGTTGAAAATGGACCTAAACACTTGGCCAACACAGTTTGACATTGAACACAATTTAGCGGCAATTTTTCATCTGGGAAACTCAAAACGGGATCTACAAGAAAGTATCCCGATCCTTGGGGACACGACTCCGATCTGAAATACTTACATTACCTTTTGATCTCTCTCCGCGCGCACCCTACTTACGCATTTTCGTAAACGAAATAATAATGGAAACTTCCCGCTAACTGCACGCTAATCTCCGCGAACAGGGCCGTGTCGTCGGCGGAATTACAGCCCTCGTCCTGTCTAAACGGGAGTATGAAGTAGCGGTTTCGATTAAACTCCGAGCTCTTCCCGTCTTTGGCGATAGGATAATTGCAGTAGAGCGAAACTTTGCGCCCGAAAAGCGACGGACCCAGCCGAAATTGCAGAATCCATCCCTTCTCCATACGATACAGTGTCGAATTTGTATGTTCGCCATCGTTCAGTGTGAGAACGCGCACCTGTGTAACCTCCCCCATGTTCGAGCAGGATTCTTCACTATCAAGTTCGATTAGTTCACCCACTGGATCCTCCGATTTATTGCAAAACGGATCGGAATGAGTAGACCCTATGTTTTCTACTTGCCCGTTCACTTTATTGTCGAGGACTGTAGTACCTACAATTTGGGTAGGCAAGATTGTTTCACTTCTATAATCTTCTGAATGTTTTACTGAAGCTGTACTTTGATCGTCCTTAGCGCTTTTAATTGACGTATCACTCTGAACACTTTCGTTTATAGTCCCCTTTACAATTGTATCTTCATTTGCTGTTCGAATACTTTCTGATGTTTTGTTTTCTTCAACAGTTTGACAATTTATTTCTTCAGCGATTTTGATGTTAGTTTCTGCTTCAATTTTCTCTTGAACCTTTATTTCATTGACAATAACTTTACTCGTATCTTCTTTGTTTTCAGATTTCTTAGCGTCAACTTTACCTTGCACTTCTACTTCATCAACAATAACCTTTTGGCTTTCTTTCTTTTCAACGGGAGGTTTCCTTTCAACCTTTATTTCATTGACAATGACTTGGTGTTTGCGACTGTCTTTCTTCTCAGCCTGACCAATTAATTCTTTAGCTTGTTTATTATTATAACTATTACTATCCTTTATTAAGTTGGCATTACCCTCTTTCTTTTCAGCAAGGGGACTTTCAGCTTTTTGTTTTCTTTGAGAACCTGCTGTATTTACAGCGTGGAAACTTAGATCTTTAGATTTTTTTACGTTGTCTGTACTTTGATTCTTGTGAGAAATTACATTGGCATTTCCGGCATTAGTCTGCACATCCTGCACCTTTTGTGGACTTGTATCAGCTTTCCTTCGGGGCTCTTCGCTAATATTCGGTTTGGTCTGGTGATTCTTAGAACCTTTGTTTTTACTTTCCACCGGTTTCTTGTCAGCGTCTTCAGATACAGCCTTTATTGCATCCACATTAACTTTCGATGCAACTGGCTTGATTTCTACAGCTTTAGCTACCTGTGCCTTTAATGGACTTTCGCGTTCCTTAACAGCTTCAGTGGTTACAACTTCACTTTTGCCTTCCTTCTGTTCTTGTATGAGTTTGTCTTCTTTTTGAGTCTTTCGAGATCCAACAATACTCTTCTCTTCCTTTTGTATTTTAGGTTCAACAGTTTTAGGTTTATTTTCTCTTAGAGTTTTCTGTGAAGTAACAACTTTATCTTCATGCTGTGTTTTTATATTATCATTAGCTATGTCACTGTTTGTTTTACTTACGTTAACCTTTTGTTCAGGATTAGTTTTAGGGGTATCTTTTTTATTTTCTAATTTGTTATCGTGCTTACTTGGGCGGTTATGCTGTTGTGTTGTGCTTGGTGAAATGCTTACCTTTTCTATTTTCTGCGCCTTTTCTGGACTAGTAGGTTTATTATTTGCTTTACCCTGTGCTTCAGTGCGGTCGGCAATCGAAGATTTTTCAGTTGTCTTCTTTCCTTTTACTTTATCTTCTTTGATCTCTGTCTCTTTCTGCTGTGAATCTTTGACTTTTACCTCGGCCTTTACTTTTTTACTGCCTACTGCCTCAGCAGGTGATCGAACTTTTTTGTTTTTCGCTTTGCTCGTTTTTGGGATTTCACTTTCTGGTTCTCCTTCTGGTTGCCTCTTTATTTGTTCTAACTTATCGACCAGGAGATCTACATCTAAGTTCCCCTTTCGCGTTCCCTGAGACGTTCCAGATTTGTTCTTTTTATCGTCTTTAGGTTTTTTATGTTTTGGCCGAGGTTTTGGCGATCTATTCGATGAACTGGAAGGGCTCTTCCCTTTTTCGGTTTTCTGCCGATGGAAAATCTGTTAAAAATAAGATGCGATTAGTTAAAACTTAACGACATTTTGAAACGTACACGCTCCACCTACAGACATTAAACAAGGGAGTGAAAGCAACTACATATCTCGATTGAAAAGCGCGTGTATAAAACTAAAAAATCGAGGTTAAGTAATTTAATTTTATAGGCACTAAAAGAGCGGCTATAATTATTGATATTTCATCATTATATCAACATTAAAACTCCTTTTTAAATTGAAAAACTAAATATACACTGTGTCCAAGATAATAATGTCTATCATGGGGATCTCCCTAGGGATCTCCTAAACCATTGAAGATACGGCGATGGTCAAATTAGGGAAAAGTTATGCAATTAAACTTGAACTTCTTTAAAGAAATCCAGAAAATTCCGATTACTTCCGAAGATATGCCAGAAAAACCGAAACTTGCCGATTTCCTTTTTATTTTTTTCTTAGGCTATTTGAACAGATTGCGGCAAATTACGGGCACCTGCAATGTTATGCGTGCAAATAAACGTATTTTCCTGAATTCCGGTGCGAAGAAAAATGTTTTAGCAGCCTGATTCGTAGCAAGGTCGTCCATTTACGAGTGATAAAAATAACGCAAGAGCGCTTTCAAAATCAAATCGCGAGTAAATAAACTGACATGATAAACAACGAACTTCTTTTTGGGATCGCCAACCGTAACGGCCAGTTGAATGCAATTTCCGTACAGTTGAGTGACGTATTTGGATAAAGCCTCGGATAAAGCAATGCGCGATAAATAAAATTTTGCATACAACGGATCGGTGCATTTTACCTGCAACAAGACCTGGTGAATAAATTGGGCCAAATTACTATCAACACAGCGGAATATTGGCATTTTATTTCTTTGCATAATCACGATTTTACATTTTTTGTTTTTATACAAGAAGTGGGCGATTATTTTTAAGAATTTGCATAAAAATTTTGTTTCAAGTAAATTTGATATTCCTAAAGGAGTTAACCTATAAACCTAAAAAAATAATTTGCATGAAACAGATTTGTATTACATTATCGATAAAAAGCGGACCCAAACAAAGCATTTTAGTTATTTTGTTTCATTCATTAGGAATTTTTCGTTAATTTCAGTGATACTAGTTCTTTGGTTAGATTATAATTTTGTTTAGCTTTCAAAGGTGTGTATATTTTGAACAGGAAAATGTACTAGGAGTTTATTATGCATAGAAAAATGACAGTTTATTAAATAAGGATCCAATTTAGCATGAACACGTGATCTCGAAATAGGCAATGTATTTTTGTACATATTTCAATTTTTTTATTAATCAAACTATAATCTATTTATTTTAAGAAGGTAGCGGTAGAAGGGATAGGGAAGCTTTAACCTTCACTGTGATTGGTTACAACACGTGTCAGTTTTACGCTGACAAATAAAACAAGTGACGAATTTTGTAAGCTGGTAGTTTCTGTTGCCAACTAAACTATCGAACTGACCTTAGCTGTTAATGTCAAAGCGTGATATTTCTACTTTACAATAATTTGGTTTGGAGAGTATTATAGGAAGCCGTGGAGAGTACCTATCATACACACTTCCTGGAAAATAGAAAATTTGCCCGATAGGTCTCATGGACGATTCGGGCTTAGGGCGCGAATGCACCATCAATTTCCACTGTGTGCCGCGAGGTGTGGCGTATATTGTTGTCTTCGTAATGCACACATCAGATTTTTACAATATACGATATGCTTGTCTTATAGGAGCATCTGTGCTGTGGTTAAAATTTCAAGAAAATATTTATAAATAAGAAAGTTGACATTACGCAGTGTGCGGACGTGCACATTAATCATCAAGATTTTTATCGGTTAAGGGTCCTGACTCGGTTCCTGAGCTATAAGCTACCGAATGCAAAAGGAACGAACTGAGTATCTTGAAAACTGTAGGAGTAGTTAAGGCCATTACAGCGCCTTCCAACATTTGTGGTTTAATATTTAGAGAACTTATGAAATCTAGCATGCCTTGTGCCATATCACACAGGAAAGACCTACTTTTGCGCGATACGATCTACCCGTGAACATGACAGCACACAGCATGCTAGATTTCATGTTTTCTAAATATTGAATCACCAACTATACAGGTTAAAAAAAACAAGTATAAATTGTGCACAGGTCTTGTGCAGATAAAGCGAAATAGCTTTTGTTTTGACATCACCAATGGATATATTTCTTGCAGACGTTTCAATCGCCCGTTGTGAGTACCCTCTTCTGACTATCCGTTCTTGAGGTATAAGCGAATATACACGATCACGATAAGAGGTCGAGGGCTGTGGTTGGTAGAAATTAATTCCTTTCGTTGAGACCTTTTATTAGAGTATCATGAAGGATAAAACTAGTCCCCCCCCCCCCCGCCCTCTAGCCCGTACTTTGATAAGAGGGCAGAAAGAAGGGCAGTAGTTTGTAGAAAATGGTTCCTTTCGTTGAGACCTTTAATTAGAATAGGCACAATGAGAGATAAAATTCATTTTTACCCCCCCCCCCCCCCCGGCCCGTCGCTCACTGATCTCGAAAAAGAGTCGCACGGGAAAGTTATAGTTTGTTTATTTCGATGAGACCTTTCATTACAATACCATGAAGGGTAGAACATGTGTTTACCCCCCCCCCCAATTTTCTAAAGTTTAACTTGGCACCACTAAAGGCATGCGTATGCAAAATCTGAGACCAATTGAGTTGTCGTATGTAAAAGTTATGCACGTTTCACTTTCAAAAACAGCATCTCAGGAAATAATTCGGGGGGGGGGGGGGGCCTTTAAACGGCGAAATTTGATGGCCGTCTGGCACACCTTCAAGGTATAGGCAAAAAATTCCAGGATTCTAGGACCATTGCCAGTTCAAAACGGCAGAAGTGGGTCCGGACGGACGGACAAAACGCAAACAATAGCACATTTTTTTAAATTCTTAAAAAATGCGCTAAAAAATACTTAGTTTGTCTTTTTAACCTTTTTTAATCACTCTTCAAAACACTATATAAAAAATGGAGACCTTCATACTACGAATTGAATCACCATTTTTTCTATATCAACTATGCATATTTTATATTGTTGTACAACAAATTGATTGCTCTTTTCAAATATCAACATAAAATTCTATTTTTCGAATCTCGCCAAATAAAAGAGTTATTGAGGTGACCCTCTTATCGCGAACGCGCTGTATATGATGTTGGGGAAGATGACTGTGGAAAATTATAAGAAGAACTCGAGGGAGAACTGCAATTTTTTCTAAGATCTTCCAGAGGATCTTTCATTTGTTATAATTATAAGATCATACACCCTTCTAAGAACAAAATAGATATCAACCTTGAAAATAAATATGGGTTTTTGTTTTTTGTTTTTTTTAATACATTTACTTATGTAGAGTATTTATTGTTTGCATATCGAGTGCTCGAACCTGGGTTGAGTTGAATTTTTCATCTGTGGTAGAGATGGGAATTTCCTTAGATCAGTTTTGAGCATTCTGCCGGCTACTCCGAATTAGGTTTTCCTGCAGTTTTCCTAATTCATAAAGTAAATACAGGAGTAGTATAGAACAACTTAAGACCTTTTGCAGGGGCACCTATAAAAAGCATTATGCGGGTCACTCTATAATTGGGTGAAAGTCTGTTGAGGGCCCAGCACAAGAGAGGCACAATAAATAAATAAATAATATAGATTACCTACAAAAATAAACAAACTCCTAAATACTGGAAATTCATTCAGAGAATGAGCTGGAAATATATGACAGCAGTATGTGCAAGTTTGCCGTAAGTATATGGAAGGTTGATGGAAGATTTGAAAAGGGAAGATTCATACCATTTCTCTCAATTTCTACTCCAAATCTCCTACCTATGGTATTAGCATTCCTTATCTTTCTGCATGTTTCTCAATGTAAATAAACCTTCACACTAAGGGTAGTGGTGGGAAAAGGCCAACCAGATTTTGATTACTTTAAGAAATAAATTGACAAACTAAGAACTGAAAACAAATGTAAAAAGAAAGTATTCCAAATAAAGTACAAAATAAATAATGAATTATAAAACCCATTCATTACAAACCACCAAATTTGAATGTTAAACCACTTACCAATTTTCCCAATCTGCTTCAATTAGATCTAAGTAGCTTGCACATGAATTATTTACCAAACATCTTACTACACCATTGAGCAACCAAGCTTTTATTAAAGCTCGATAATTTTTTTAAATAAAGTGACCTTCCAAGGCCGAAATTTAAAATGATCTCGCAAAGGTGACATTGAACGTAAACATTGCGTAGTGCTTTTTTTCTCGTCGCGGTTGGTAGCGGTTTACTGTCCATTTATTAAATAGTTCTTCGTTTACGTTTACGCGAATGAGTCTAAAGTAGTTCATTTAAAAGTTAGTTAAAAATCTGCGAACTCGAGAGTCAAAAATTGGCGCAAATAACAATTTTTAACGTAAAGCGAAATTTAAATCGTCTCGACACGTTAGCCAACCTAAGCGGTAGAGTACCAGAAACAGCTGTTATACCGAAAATGGACGAATGCCAGAATTTGGATTTGTGTTTGAAGTTACTCAAAAACTCTTTATAAAAATTAAATGCTCTGCATTGATAATCATGTAAATAAAGTGGCGATAAAGGAATTAGGTTTATTAACTATGGACGACAAAATGTGTAATATAAGTAAAAGCTTTGACAGTGAAGGAGGTGACTGTTCGGATGCAGATATCGAAATAAATAACAGAATCTTCAGCGTCGAAAGCGACGAGGAATCAGTTAAACGGTTTAACGATCAAGACAACTCTGTGATTTGGTTAAACGACGAGGACTTCGCCGACGATCTCGAGAACGTTAACATCAACAATTTCTTTCATCGCGTCGATAGCGATCAAATTATTTATCAAACGAAGAAAAAGAGGCTCAAACTCGTCGGTAAATATGTAATGGGCGACTTATTAGGCGAAGGTTCCTACGGCAAAGTGAAGGAGATGTTAGATTCGGAGACACTGTGCAGACACGCGGTTAAAATTTTAAAGAAGCATAAGCTACGTCGGATACCTAACGGGGAACAAAATGTACAAAGGTAAATTTTGGACTTACCGTGCCGACGATCCATGCGATTAATGCGGCCATTCGATTTCGGTACCTGTAATAAGAATTTCGTTTTCAGGGAGATAAAGTTGTTGAGAACGCTTAAGCATAAAAATGTAATTAATCTAGTCGATGTATTATATAATGAAGAGAAGCAAAAAATGTATTTAATTATGGAATTTTGCGTAGGAAGCTTGCAGGGGATGTTAGAGGCGACTCCGTTAAAAAGATTTCCCCTGTTTCAAGCGCACGATTATTTCGTTCAATTAGTGGATGGACTGGAATACTTACACAGTAGGCGAATTATTCATAAAGATATTAAACCGGGGAATTTATTATTAACTTTGAAAGGTGATTTGAAGATTTCCGACTTGGGAGTTGCGGAGGTAAGCTTTTTTACGCTCATTTTATAGATAAATAATTTTTGATTGAAACGTTAGTCAATGAGAGTTTGGTTATATTTTGTTTTATTACCTTATTAATAGAAAAAGCACAGAAATCACAGTGACTGTTGCTAATGTGGTTAGGAACATTTTGCATGTGACAGTCAGCACCGCTAAGAGTGAGTACCCACTGACCTCTAGAATAATAAAGAAGTCAAAGGTCATGAAGTTTTGGATAATTGTAATCTATTAATAATCTCACTCTGTTTATATAAACTTATCGATTATCAGAAATTGAAGTTGAACGGGGAGTTGTTCAATTATTTGATTACCGAATCATTAAAAATACATACATCAATTGTTAACATTTTCCTCATGCGTGCAATGAAAGGTTATCAATGTATACTGAGAATGCAGTAAATCTGTATCAAATTTTACATTGTAAGTAATACAATGTATTGCTGGCATTAAACTCAATTCTAGTATGGAATTTACCAATCCTTAAGAAGTTGGTGTTAGGTTAATGACATAAGTACAAAAGAGATAACTGAGGACTGTTGTAATTGAACCATGTTTAGACTTTGTTCCTGGACTTTCATTCATATTTTTGCTGTCCCGCGTGGCGTAGTGGAGCGGAGGCTTGATTGCACCTCAGATTGCACTACTGAGGTTCGAACCCCAATCTGAGCATGGATGTTTGTAAGTGTATAGGGGTTGGGTTGGTAGAGCAGATCTGGCTGAAACCCCGCCCTCTTACAATTAGAGGCAAAAATAAATTTATACAGGATGAGTTGATTCATTTAAATATGTTTTTAGAAAATTATTCACTGGTAATTGTCCATTACAGCGCTACGCTTTAACATCATTGGTTGGATTTAAATTGTTGCAACTAGCGGCAAGGCTAATGTCAAAAGTAGTCGAATTTTGTATGAAAGAAGAAAAAGAGTTGGAAAAGAGGTACCATGCGTTACCGTGTTATAGGTATTCATGCTTCCTTAAATTTAGTTACATTGGTAGCCCTGTTTGCCGTGAGTAGACTACTGTTTATGGCACATCCGCCCTTTTTTTGTGTATATGTCGTAGTCTTTTAACGCGCAGTCATTGATGGACTGCTGAATTGACAAATGACACCTACATGGGGGCAGCCATGATGTGCACTCACTTGGCGCGAAATTCAAATCAACTAATAAACAAGCATTAACCTCACGTTTTCTAAATAAATTACTGTGGCACGTCATTTTCCAAGGCAGCAATAGTCTCAAAACTTGAACACTAGGAAAATAACTAAAATGTGCACATCATGGCGGCGCTCATGCTAAGGCCATTTCTACCTCTTTGCAACTGTTTGATCACCAGTTCATCTTAATTTATAAGTTCGTGTTCCTAGGGCCAAGCGATGGAGTCTCTTCTTCCTCTTCAAGATCGATATAAATGGTATCCCTTATCGATCTAGAAGGGAAAGGGAACTACTCTACACATGAAATTATCAGCGTTACACTAAATGACTAACCCTCGTACTAGGCTTTTTGTGAAATGACGGATTTCACTAAAAGACTACGACATATACACTGTGTCCATTTTTCGAGTGCCACTATGGGGATCTCGCTTACCTTAAGAGATAGAAAGTTGGTTAAATGGGGGCAAAGTTGCGAATTTCCCTGCTGAATAACCATCTGAAAAGAAATTTAAAATATCATCAATAGTTCTGAAAATATCGCAAAAAAACGAAACATTCTGATTTTCGTTTTTAATTTTTTCATGACAAACTAGACGTACTAGACATTTCTAATTAACACATTATTCAAATACTTTTCAATGGAGATGTGATTCGAATGTGACATCTCGTTTAAATAACTTTTAAGACGACAGAGAAACACGTGGCAACTTTAGTTTTTCTTATGGGCGCCATTTTTAATTTTGACATGTTAAGATTACGCGAGAGATTACGATATATCACACATGGTGGTTCAGTATCACATTTTTCCCAAAAATTCAATTTTTAATTTTTTGGGAAGAGTACTTTGGAAAAACAAAACGTTCTTTTATTGTGAAAAAAAGTTTGACAGTTTGATGCATATGTCCGGTTGCAGCGTTGGCATCAGGGAACTAGATGTGTTGAGAAAATTCGATTTTCATATGAACAGAATTGAACCTTCGTTTTGCAAGAAAATTATAATTCAAATTAGAACAAAATATATAAGAATAAATAATATTTTAGCAATAAACTAAACTAACACAAACGTAAATGACATTGCTTGAAATAAGTCAACATTTTGTTCACAACAAAAGAACGTTTTGTTTTTGCATAGCACTCTTCGCAGAAAATGAAAATTGTATTTAAAAAAAAAATGTGATACTGAACCAACATGTGTGATATATCGTTGTTAAGAGAAAAAAAGACCTAATCTCAAAATGTCAAAATCCAAAACGGCGAGCATAAAAAAACTAAAGTTGCCACGTGTTTCTCCGTTATCTTGAAAGTTATTAAAAACGGGATGCTATATTCGAAATCTATTGAAGATATTATAATTTCTTTTTAGATTATTATTTAGCACAAAAATTCGCAACTTTGCCCTCATTTAACTAAGTTTCTATCTCTTAAGATAAGCGAGATCCCCATAGTGGCACTTGAAAAATGGACACCGTGTATTATTCGGTCACACAATCTGCCACATAAATAGGACACGGCACATTGTGCTGGGGGCGTGAATAATGGGTAATTTTTGGGCTACACATCCACGCTAGAGGGCGTACTATTCGTGGTGAAGTAGAAAAATGATTTTTTTTTTAAATATACTCAACAAACATGCATCGAAAATACATGCATTGACGTCAAGATATACAGGGTGTTGCATTTAAAAAATACTAATTGTGGGTCAAATGTCAGAAACGGTTTTCAAAAATTTTTTTACTACGCCACTAGCTCGGAAACTAGATTCTACGTATAAATATCTAAAATGAGTAGGCAGTTTTTACCTTTTTCTATCTTACATGGGTAGTAGGATATGATAACGTCCCAAATAGTCAAACTTTTCGTTTTCACCTAGTATCTCAGAAGCAAACATTTTTTGCACGAAAAAGAAAATATACAGGGTGCGTCAAAAAGAGTTTGATACCAAAGTTGCTTTCATTAATGGAATAGTATTTTTTAAATCCATTTTCGACTTCTGTGTTAAATTGTACGCAAAAACAAAAATAATGCGAAAATGGATTAAAAAAATACTGTTCCATTTAAAAAATCAATTTTGGTATCAAAATCTACTTTTTGACGCACCCTGTATATTTTATCTTTAGTGCAAAAAATTCGCAAGAAAAATTTTGATTGGCGCATTTTTTAGCGCATTTTTGCAAAAATTTTTTTGTTGTAAAAAGTAGCTTTTAATCTCACTTTGGCTGGCTGGCTGGCTGGCAGTAAATGCGCGCCCGTAGAAAAACGCTTGTAAAAAGACAAGGAGTGTACATGTAACTATCGGGGCCGTGTAATTAAGAACGTTAGGGATGGGGCTACAAGATTTGGAGTCGACGACATCTGGACGCCATCCCCGAGCGTATTATACTAACCTGGAGATTTTTCAGTTTTTATCTATCTTCTACAGTTTTTCTCCGATTGTTTTCAAATTGGTGTCGTCGGGAAGATCTTGTCAACGCGCACAACTCCTGCGTGGCGGAATTTTGTTTTTTTTTCCTAGGGGCGAAATAAACCACCTTTTGCGCGACGCGCTTCGAGGTGTAGTCGACTTTGGGCGCCCAAAAGTTTCTTACAGCGCGAATCGCGGTCTCTCTTTCGCGTGTCACTAATAGAAGGTCGAGCTATGTGAAGTACCCAAAAGTTGAATACGATTTTATGCCGGGATTTTAGCGAAATCTACCAAAATGTGAATTACGAATGAACGGGACGTCGGAACTGTGTATCGACAAAGGGAATGTGGTAACCCCCGACGAGATCTTACTGATGGTGGAGTAGAAACTTCAAACGCGAATTGCGAGTGCACGGTAAGTGAGAAAATGGTACCGACAAAGTGAACGTGGTAGCTTTCGGCAAGATCTTATTGATGGTGGAGTCAATATTGGCTAATAAAACACTGATCTGCCACACAAAAATGCGCTGAAGTCCCTTCGATCTCACACGAGGACTTTGATCATTTTTTTAACCCAACACCTGATTTTTAATTGAATTTGTTCCATATTTTTGCTGCTCACTGTACATAATTTGTGCTGACATTAAATGTATAGCACTTTCTGATGGATTGGGTGGGCACATAAACATTTATTTAATTAGCAATTCTCTGCTGTCGATCATATTATTCAGGAGTTTTCACATAAAACAAATAGCCAAGTATTTACACTGTGTAGCAAGATTAATTAGCCCAAGGTAGCTAAGGGAATAGCTGCCATTTAACACGTAGTGAATTCGGCAAATAAATTTAATAGGCTTCTCAATTCTTTCGATGGAAGTAATGTACATGGTTTCCCAAACGACCGTACAATACTTCAGTTTATGTCTTACTATTGTGATGTACAGGGTGTTCTGTTAACTATACTTTTATAGCGGCGCTCTCCTTTAATTATTAGTGCTATCAAAAAAAGTAATACAGGGATCATGTGCTCTTTTTGGATCAACCAAGGATCAAACTTAAAATGGTGAAATCAAAATTTGACAATATCACTCCTCGATTCACTCACCTAAAAGATGCGGGGGAAAATCCAAACATTGTCAATTTCATAATGAAGCTATTTTGCTTAAAAGAGATACAGAATGTTTATTATTTTAATCTTAATAAAAAAAGAGAGTATATTAAATTCTCTTTTCAAAAATATAACACTAAAAAATGAAAAAATGATTTAAAACTCTTTTTGAATTTAATTAAAAATTAATTATACTTCGTCTAGTATAAAAACAGTTGGAGTTAACCGCCCACTGCAAAAGTTATGTCTTTTCTTCAGGTGGGCTAGATAGAGATGAAAATATAATAGCATAATTTGTGTACACCACACAGGCGAGTCACTGTCACTTGTTACTAGATGTTATTTAAGGTGCCTATTCTCAAAAGGTTTGATCATTTGATGTGGTCCGTTTAAAGAATACTTCACAGCTGATTCTGACAGGGAGTTTTAATTTTATTAAACATAAAAACAGAATTCCATGGCTACCTACTTCGACAATAACTATTGAACGGAGTATAGGGAAATTGTACGTATGTATCTGCTGAAAAGAATATCTCTGTATAATTGATTTATGAAATTCTCAATGGTTCTCTGTTAACACAATGACCAATACTAAATGATTAATTATATTCTAGGCCTTAGATTTATTTGCGGTGGATGATACGTGCTACACCGGTCAAGGTTCACCTGCATTTCAACCACCCGAAATAGCGAATGGGTTAGAATCGTTTCCAGGTTTCAAAGTAGATATTTGGAGTAGTGGCGTTACATTGTAAGCAAACAGTTAGTTAATATTTTCCTTAAACGACCTAATTGTTGTTAATGTGCAGTGATTGAATGTATTTTAGATATAATATAACGACCGGCGTGTACCCTTTCGAAGGTGATAATGTATATAGATTATTCGAAAATATAGGCAAAGGCGAATTTGTAATACCTGCGGAATTAGAAGAATCTCTTAAGGAACTGCTTCAGGGCATGTTGCGTAAGGATCCGGAAAAACGACTGACTGTACAGCAAATTCGGCAACATCCGTGAGTATCAGCTTTCTTCTTGTACACACAGTTAAGTAAAATTGGAGTATTTTCAGGTGGTGCATCCGTAAACCTTCACGAGATAGTATTCAAGTCCCCATCCCTCCTTTAAAAGGTGACGAGTGGCACAATATGACCGTACTGCCTTACTTAGTCGATCATTACTATGAAACTCAGAGTAATCAGGAGGGAGACATACAATACTTTACGGAGCGTCAATTAAATGGTAGTAAAGATTGGTATGAACTAGTAGTTAATTATTGTTTTTGTAGAAGAAAGGAGAAAACATGAAACTCAACAGAGCAATGGTATCTCCCAAAGTAACCAAATGCACCAGAGTTCAAAACGTAGATGGAAGAAACCTATGTCATGTATTACAGTCAAGAGGTTTCCCGGCTGTAAGCAATCGTGACATTTCTTTTGTACTATTTCTTAAAACATATTTTTGATAAAAAAAAGCGCGAAAGAGTATATTGAGTATTTTGACCAGTGTTTGTATAAATTTATATTGTTGTTTTGTAACTATCTTTTTAAGTTTATTGTTGTTATTAACTTCATTGCTCAGTGATTTTTCATGTTATGGTTAAATTAGAGATTTTTATGAAGAACGGACAACAACAGTGCCATATATGTATACATATTAAAGAAACAGTATGTTGAAGTGATGTATTTTTTTTGCAGCAGTTAGACATGAACTGGTCTGAATAAAGCCTGGTTCATAGCTCTCCATTTCTTCGTTACCTAATCAACAACCAGTAATTTTTATGCTTACTGCTTGTTGATTGGCTGACGGATTAACTGAAATTGTGAAACGGATAACTATGAACGAGGCCTAAGGCAATTACGGAATTTTTTTAAATCTTTTTGTTTTGATAAATGTATTCATTTATGTTTATATTTCAGTTATTTAAAATTTTTGTGTGCACAAAACTTTCAGTATTTTGATTTGGAATTAATGGGGATTTACGATAATTCAACCATTTTAACTATAGAAATCACCATAGAAACAATTGTCGTAATGATTGTAACCATAGCAAAATCTACCAACCCGGTTAATCCGGTTGAATTATCGTAAATCCCCAATATTTTTCTGCAATACACAGTGTCTCTACAAAGCAAGTCTTGTATGACCAGAAGTTTAGTTTTTTGTATGCACCTATGCATTGACCATTTATTATCAACTCAAACTCGCCTATTTTGCCCAAACAAGTTAAGTACAATTTTGTTCCGTAAGAGCTTTAAAAACAAGTTTGATCAAGTGTGTCCAAGCTCAGGATGTCTATCATGGAGATATCGGAAACCATAGAAGATGTCAAATTAGGGAAAAGTTGTGCAATTAATAAGTAATTATCATGCTGTAAATCAAACCAGAAAATTCGGATTACTTCCGAAGATATGACAGAAAAACTGAAATTTTTAGATTTCGTTTTTTTTCTAATGTTATTTCAAAATATTTGCAAAAAATATAAAACACTTTCTCATTGCTACTATTTGCGTTCTAAAAGACAGTGATACAATACAATACAATGTTTCGTTTTGGAGAAATCAACAACTTTATTTTTTTATTATACCTGCATCAGAATCGTTTGAACGTGCGAAAAAAGGCGATTAAAGCACGCCGAGCTTTAAAGTTTGCTAAGCAGCATTACTTCAAATATGACATAATGAAACTATAATCTGGAACTGAAATAAAGAAAGGTAGAAGATTTAGATAACTTTGATATTTCCTGCATATATGCCAGCTTTAATGATGCATTTAAGCCTTTGTTTGAAAAATGCTTCCTACATATCCAGGCCAACAACTTTTCATATTCTTTTGGATTTGGATTTTGCAGGTAAGTTAATGTAAATTTAATTATAAATAAATAACTTTGAAATCTGGTGTATATCTAACATGTTTTACCCACCTCTGCAAGTATAGTGTATATTGGAGAGAATTGATCCACTACATATTCAGACGGGCAAGGTCAAGGACATCGCACCCTGCTGCTCGCGCTTTCCTCCTTTCACAACCATCAATCCCTCCCCCCCCCCCCTTCACAAGCGGTTCAAGGTCACTACTGTACACAGTTTCTATCTGTGGTATTTGAGACACAACAAATGTAACCATGAGCCACTTTCAAGTTGCTGATATCCATATATCTTCTCTTATACAGGGTGTTACACGACCGTTCGAAAAAAAAATCGGGTTGTAGAGGGCATCAAAACAAGCACTTTTTCCAAATAAACCGAGGGTCCAACGTGTTTCGTTTGGGAGCCACCCCCCAAAGAGTGTTGAAATCTGCATTTCTTCTTTAATTTTTTTCTCAGCAACCATAAGAGTTACAAAGTCGGGTGGCATGTCTTTGAATAGGTTTTTGGGTATGCTCTTTCCGATTTTGCAATTTTTTTTTCAAAATTCCTACCCCTAAAGGGCGCACCCCTAAACTAGGGTGCAAAAAAAATTCTGATTTCGACGAAATTTGGTATCTGGGGTTTTTTTAACATGAAAATCACGAATCTGAAATTAGTTTTTGAAAATTCGAAAAAAAAAGTTCCACTGCAATTCTTGGCGGGACAACGAAAATAGAGATAATTCCACGAAATTTGTTGTGTACATACTAAACGAGTTAAGGAACAAAACTGTCGAACAGTTTTTTTAAATAACTTTTCAAACAAAAGTTATACTCATTTGAATGTTGGTCCTTCGGGTCGCGAAGTGTCCCAAGCCTACTAGTAAGCCATAATTTCGCATGTGTTGGTTGACAATGTCGCAAAAACAAAAGATTAACGGTTTGAGTCGATATTTTGTTATTTGGAATTAATTCGGTCATTAAATGATTAAAAAATTCGATGTATCGATTAAAACACCTACCAAGGTATCTTAAAGCGCTGATCGATTGTTTATTATCTAAATAAGGTAGGGGAAATTTGTCCTTAAAAGGAGCGTGTTCTTTTGGAAGTTATTTTTCAACCTAAGATTATGAAAATTTTTGATCATAGTGAAAAAGTATCATACGGAAAGTGATTTGACTTTTTCCCCTACCTTATTTAGATAATAAATAATCGATCAGCGCTTTAAGATACCTTGGTAGGTGTTTTAATCGATACATCGAATTTTTTAATCATTTAATGACCGAATTAATTCCAAATAACAAAATATCGACTCAAACCGTTAATCTTTTGTTTTTGCGACATTGTCAACCAACACATGCGAAATTATGGCTTACTAGTAGGCTTGGGACACTTCGCGACCCGAAGGACCAACATTCAAATGAGTATAACTTTTGTTTGAAAAGTTATTTTAAAAAACTGTTCGACAGTTTTGTTCCTTAACTCGTTTAGTATGCACACAACAAATTTCGTGGAATTATCTCTATTTTCGTTGTCCCGCCAAGAATTGCAGTGGAACTTTTTTTTTCGAATTTTCAAAAACTAATTTCAGATTCGTGATTTTCATGTTAAAAAAACCCCAGATACCAAATTTCGTCGAAATCAGAATTTTTTTTTGCACCCTAGTTTAGGGGTGCGCCCTTTAGGGGTAGGAATTTTGAAAAAAAAATTGCAAAATCGGAAAGAGCATACCCAAAAACCTATTCAAAGACATGCCACCCGACTTTGTAACTCTTATGGTTGCTGAGAAAAAAATTAAAGAAGAAATGCAGATTTCAACACTCTTTGGGGGGTGGCTCCCAAACGAAACACGTTGGACCCTCGGTTTATTTGGAAAAAGTGCTTGTTTTGATGCCCTCTACAACCCGATTTTTTTTTTTCGAACGGTCGTGTAACACCCTGTATATATGCTGATATCTCTGACAGCATTTTGACAGATATTTGACAGTGTATTTGTAGAGTAGATAATATCAAATGTGTAAATAAACACAGCAGATAAATTTGTGATTGTTTATTAGAAAATTTCATCCGAAATGGGTGCAATAACTAGTAGACAACACGCTGGCGTCGAGGAAGTGGACATATCATCAAATCATGCATATAAATATCCACCTCGTTCCGGTATTTTTTAAAGCATATTTAATTTGTTGTATCTAAATAAAGGTGTGTAGGTAACTATTTTGGAAGTCATTTCATTATGGGTGGAGAAAGGTTCGATACACCTCAACCGGAGTCATACTTATTCGGTGAAAACTCAGATTTGAACTTTCTAGGCAGTAGACCGACACCGGTAACTTACAGGAATATAGGACAAATCCATTGCATTATTTAGTAAATTTTAGTTTCCATATCCACCCCCTCAACCGAATGAACCTACAAAGACACTAAAATGTTTGGTGAACATTCGTAAGGAGTCGCTACGATTTGTAAGGGCACCGCCCATAGATTTCGGGAAAGTTAGAGCAGATGGTGATCATAGGGATGGCGAGTTGGGCAAGGGATCACCTTTTAACATTGAATTCACTTTCGATTGCGATGTGAGATGCGCAATTACTGTTTATTATTTTTGTACTGAGGAAATTACATCAAACTGTGTTACGTACGTCAAATTTCCATTGTAAAATATTACATATCAAATTGCAGTTACATTCCAAAGGATCCAACCATAAGTTCTGAAACATTCCGCTATAAACGAGGTGCCAATCAACAGTTTTGCCAAATCGGTCACGTGTTTGAACCTTCTCGTTTCTCTGAAGATGAATTATTATATGATATTGACAGGGAAATGATTCCGGTTGCGATTCATTGTGTTGCCGAAGAAGGACCGGAAGGTGGTAATGTTAACTTTTAATTAACTTTTTTTAACTTTTCTTATAGATATGAGACAATCACATACGACTATTGCTACAATAGAAAAAAGTGCGGATGGAAGTTATGTACTGAAAGCGTTGAAACAGAAGTTGTTCGTTGACGGTTTGTGTTATTTATTGCAAGAAATATATGGCATTGAAAACAAAAATAATGATAAGGTAACTACGTTTGAAAATTGATGAAATTATAGCGTAATCGGTGTATTATGCCGTCATCACTGAGTATGTTTACATAGCTTGATAGAATCAATGGGCTCGTTCATAAGACACAACAGTTACCGCTACGCTACCTCGTAGCGTATCGGTAACAGTTGGGGGTCTTATGTCACGTTCCCTACTTTGACGTATGTAGCGCTACTAAAAATGGCCGACTGCTCCGTAAAGAGCGTAAAAGTAGCGACCTAATTGTAAGACGTATCAGTAACTGTTCCAGAACAGTTGTGTCTTATGAACGCGCCCAATGGAAGAGGATACAGTTATTTGTAACAAGTTGTTACAAATGGGAAAGGAAATTGAATAAAAACTCATAATTTTGTGAGTAAAAAAGACTGAAATATATTACACACACATCCAGGCGATGCCAGAGAAACCTTCTTTGGGACAAAAACCCTGGCATGGCCGACACATCCACAAAACATTTCAAATTGTGTAACAATAAAAATCAAGCCACAAATTTCAAGATTCTAATAGCGTCATTTTTTTTGGAAAAACATCAACGTGCATCTTTCCAGTTGGTTGTTGAACGTCACAAGGGCGATAAACTTTCGCCTAACTTGTGCGCCGATCTTCCTCTTAGGTCTTGGTAAAAACCGAACCACAGCCTTTTTACCGAAGACTCATTCCTTTCAGATCTCTCCATTAATTTTGAAACAACACAGGCGCCGTTCACCAGCCATTTTGTTGACTTCAAATCCCTCGGGTTTAATTTTTCTTACGCTTTTTGCACTCTCGTCTTGCCATGACTTACATATTGTTCCATTTTGAAATACTCATGTTTCATCCAAAAAGACACATTGGCGTCCATTTTCAGATTGCATCTTTTTTACAAACCCATTTAAAAATGGACTGTTGATAGTGTAATATTGGGTAACTCTATTAAACCTTTTGTTAATTTATCTTTTTGATAGTGGAAACCAATATTCGTGCCTTTCTCTTTTAGAACTTGCGAAAGGGATTGAAGTGTAAGATGTTCTAATCGCTGTTTGTGTGAAACCATCAACATCGCTAACGGGTTTCTTACATTGCCTTGCCTTTCAGGACTTTGTAGATGTTTGCCTGATTTTGAAATTTGTAAAATAGAAGTCACTGTTCCCAGGCTAATGTTTAATGCATCCGCAACTTCTGTGAAATGAAACTTGTTACATATACGAATTCTTATATTACTAAAGTAACCACTCACCTCTCTTACTGCTGTGATTGGTAAAAGTGGGCTACCACAAATTTACGAGTCATTGCCAAGAGTTTACTTCTTCGCTCTCCTAAACTGTCTCCCTACATGTTCTATGTAGGTGAGTCTATCCTCACTGCAGGCATGTCATGCTATCATTTGTGTGAACACGTCAGGAATCTTCGTTCCCTTGACATGATGGCTGTTAAGTTTTGTTACTAGACGAGGTGAGCGGCTCTACACCGACCTTTACGAAACACTGCCATTTATAACCACTGAATGGCATCTCGATGACTTCCGTATTTTGTCTAAGCTACCTGTGCAGGGTCTCGAAAGTCTAACATCTGTAATTGCACAATAGACTTACAACGGTATGCTCTTGCGCTTCTAGCGTGCCCGCCGGCGATTTTGTGTGTCATCACGCAATAAAACCAACACAAACGTAAATGACACTAAATACGATTAAACCACAGGGATTAAACTGTCAAACTTTCATTCACAACAAAAGAACATTTTATTTTTCCAAAGCACTCTTCGCAAAAAATGAAAAATTGTATTTTGAGGAAAAATACTTAGACCATATAGTACATGGACTGCTATTCGTTCTATGCTTTCAATACAAAATAGGTGGTCACGGATAGGGGGCGCTGTAGTCGTGGGTATGTGAATCTCAGGGTAAACTAAAGTCGTGTAAACACCACTCGTATCACAAAAACAGCAGCTTCTGTAGCAATCAAGTCGTACGAGATGTTTTAAATGCTATTCTTTATCTTCTATACTTCCACAAATAAGAATAGGTTTGATTTTTTGGCATTTCTATGCGATTAATTATTTGACGTTTGTTAATTTAAAGGTTGACAGTTCAAATCGTGTCTCATCGAACAACTTCGGATAGATTCGTTTACCCTGAAACTTATATACCCAGGCGATGTCCTTGACCAAATTTTAGTTGCAATTAGCAGTCCATGTACTATATGGTCTAAGGAAAAATATGATACTGAACCACCATGTGTGATACATCGTTGTAAAGAGAAAAATAAAATTTTAAAATCCAAAATGGCGTCCATAAAGATGCCATACTCGAATTCTCCATAAAAAAGTGTCTGAATTATGTTTTGGTGAGAAATGTGTAGTACTTACGATTAGTTTATCAAAAAAAAATTGAAAACGGAAATCAAGCGATATTTTCAAAAATTTAAAATTTCTTTTTAGATTATTATTTAACGCGAAAATGTCCACCTTTCTCTCATTTAACCAACTTCCTATTTCTTAGAATAAGCGAGATCCCATAGTGACACTCGAAATTTGGACACCCTGTATACAACGTACTCTTTAGGTTTAGCGGTTTTTAGAAGTTTTCTTTTCAAAATTTTAATTTTGTTCAACATAGAAAAATGTACCGCTTCATAGCGAACGTGAACAAAAGTACGTCTCAAATAAGAGCGATCACAACGCAACCTGTTTTTGAGATAAAGGTAGAGAGACCGTGTTGCGGGGATTTTTAAAGCAGTCTGAGCAGTACCCTTTTTTAGTACACTAAAATTATCCTTCGTTTTAGCTTCAAGAGCGATAGCGTAAAAATAGTGGTGCGTGAAAGTTACGAGGTTAGACTTTCAAAAGTGGCACGTATTATTTGTGTGAGAATTTTATTTTCGCATAATTGCGATTATAGCCAGGCGGTTTATTTTCGAATTGATAAAACTCAAATAAACGATTATGAATCATTTTTTACATTGCAACCGTACATTAATTTAGTTTAGATTTGTTGTAAGTAATTAAGCATTTTGTGACTGGGGTGAACAAGATACCCCGCTTGATTTCCTACGCAATAAAGCTGAAGCGACTCGGAACTTGCCAAAAATTGATCTCATCAAATGGAATTGGTTTCTATAATCATCTCCACGATCCCTTCTTGAGATCAGTGGAAGAGGGGGGGGGGGGGGTTATCTTTCAATGAGGTGTCAACAACAGAACTGTTTTCTACCTCACTCCCCGCTTATCAAAACCGGGGAGTGGGGGGCAGGAACTGACTTTATTCTTCTACTTCTTGGTATTCTCAAAGGGCGGCTGGAACGACAAGACATATCTACTGTAGATGTGAGAACTTAAGTGTCAACACATTGATAAACACAGGAATTTTTTCGGATCACCAAATGTAACGGCTGGTTAAAAGCAAATTCCTCAAAGTTGACTGACGTCATTATACAACGGTATACGGCAGAGAATATAAAGACAATTAATCGGTACACTTCGCCCACAACAAAACCTGGTTAATAAATTGCAGAAAGTCAACCATCAGAGCGGTCTATTATTTTTAAGAATTTGCATATTTGTACGAAGTATTTTAATATTCCTAAAGGAATCGACCCGTGAAAATTATTTGCAGGAAACAGATTTTATATTGTATTTGTTGAGAAGAATCGAATCCAAACAAAGGGTTTTGCTTCATTGATTGGAATTTTGCAGTTAATTTTAGTGATACAATAACTTTGGTTGGATTAAAATTTTAAATTTTAGCATTCAGAGGTGCGTTTATCAGTGACACGTGATCACGAGAGAGGTATTGCATTTTTTGTATACCTACCCAACCTACTTGAAAAGAAACATTGAATTTGATCGCCTTTGTTTTACTGATTATATTTAATGTGATTAAGTGAGGTCTTCGATCTTTGTAAATGTAACTAACACACATGTCCTGTTTGCAAGCAATAATCCATTGCTTTGCTACATCTCGATTTGAAGGGAGACTCCAGTGTCTTCTGATTATAATTTGTACACCTGATTTTAAGACGGCAAACCCAAAAACCGAAAATCCTCACTTGTTTTACTTCGTACGTATGACGTCATGCGTGGCGCGGTCAAATTTGCGTTCGCCTAACGAGCATATCGATTGTGTAATTGTAAAAATATTCAATTCGATTTTGTTGTAGACTTTTACATTAATTTTTTTTAGCCATCAGGTGATGACGATACCGATGACAATGGATCTGAATGCGTTATTTGCATGTGCGACGTGCGCGACACTTTGATACTGCCATGTAGACATCTCTGCCTATGCAATTCTTGCGCAGAGTCCTTAAGATACCAAGCGAATAACTGCCCAATCTGTAGAGCTCCATTTCGAGCACTATTGCAAATTCGAGCTCTGCAAAAATCTGCAAATGCAATTCAACCCGTCAGCCCACCCGATGTAGGTATACCTCAATGATGTCTTAACGAAAAGCTCAAAAGTCAATTTAACAGGGCAGTTGTGATAACATTCCCCCCGGTTACGAGGCTGTGTCATTGATCGAAGCACTGAACGGTCCCGTAATACCGCGACAGCCTCCTGCTGCCATTCCCGACCTTGTGGAGACGCCCGATAACGAACCTGCAATACAGGCGGCGCAAATATTAAATCGCCATATAGCAGAAAGGACGCCTATTAAATCCGGAAAAGATGTGGACCCATCAACACCGGAGGTCTCGCGTAACTTTTCCAACGAACACATTAAAAAACGTGTATTTTTGTGCAGTTCGGAATGTCCGTCTTGCTTTCGCGCGAAGAAGATAACAAAGAAACGCCTAAAAGTCCTTTGTTAGCTTCCGCATGTGGAAGTCCCAAAACCGGAAAAGCCAAGAAAGATATTGTCAGGCATGTGAACGAAAAGTCCGATAAGGAGGAAGTAGGTTTACAATAACGCATAATTTGTTGTCATTTCATTTCATTCGTCACTGATGTACGTAATTATTATATGCAGATACAAGATGATGATAGCGAGGCAGAGAGAATGTCACCTTTGTTGCAGAATAGCGACACAGCTTGTCGCAATAATCATCTGGCGTTAAATATGGATGATGTCGTAGAGCCCATTGATGACACTGACACTGAACACGAAGAGCAAATTCATTCAAATATAAAGGAGAAGAGTAAGAAAACACGTAAGTTTCGTTCCTTACTGTCTTCATTTGTTAAGGGAGTGAACTGAACATAGTTTTTGTAAAAAGTCAATGTTTTTTCCATAAAAAAAAACCTATGGATTTGTTCAAATGATGTAAGGCAAGGCCATAGTGACAGAAATAGTAATCTTTTTAGCGCATTTTTGAAAAAAATACGCTATTATATTCGTTATGGCTGGCAGGCCGGCTGTCCGCGTGAGATCTCCACAACTACAATAGCTAGAGAATTCAAATTTTCACTAAAAGCTTTCTGCTATAGTGTAGATGTGCAGGCACTAGTCTATTTTGAGTTAGATTACTTGTGAGATCGATAATTGAAGAAAATAATTTCGATATGGGTTTCGGAGGTGCTATAATTTTATCGTTAGATAGCGCTACCAGTATAAAAACTTATTATTTACTTTGGGATTTGTTTTACAAAATGAAGACGTACCGTCAATTGAAATTAAATAAAATTAATTATTTAATGCAGCCAAAATGACTCGTGAGATCGATAATTTTAAACTTCGCTAATAAAATACTGACCTGCATGACCAAAAATGCGCTTTAATCATGCATATGCTGATTTACAACTTGTTTATCCAAACACCCATTGAGCCAGTTATAGCTTTCTCATTTATTCTGCACACTTCGGATGAAAGTTTCAAGCTTCTTGTTACATTGCTGTCCAACTTATTTATTTCCGTGTTCTCCTTCTCTGTTACTATTTTTAAGGGCGGCAATCAGTAATAGAAAAAATTCTTGTATTGAAAAAAAAAAGATGGTAATCGGGCAAAAGTTTCAACAAGAGTTTTGGGTTATTAACCTCTTAATGTACCGCACAAGTTTGAAAACGTATGATACGCTAATATGTAGTTGGTAGGAGGGTGAGTGAAATAGAATGGAGGTCATGTATTTTTTGTAATTTTGAATCTACTGTAGAGTGCTTCATTCTTTAGGGTTGTGGGATAGAATTAAGTCACACTGTATATTTTTTATTTCCAGGCATCTCATTTTTCATTGCGGTTTATATTCTTCTTTGTAATTTGTCTATAGCTTTTCATTTTTTTTAAATTTTAGTACCTCCATTTTGTTAATGTACTGGATATGTTTAACTAAATGGTCTGATGCCTTTGCAGTTTGCGTATATGTTCTCTTTATTAATATTAATTGTCATTAATACTTACCACTATTTGGTTTTGATATGTCATGTAAGTATGTATATGTTACCGGCAAACTGCGAAATCCGGCATTTTGCAAAATCCCTAGGCATTTTGCGAAATGACCAATGCAGCAGGCAAAGTGAGAAATGGAACTCGACTTCGCACTTCGCCTACCTCTCTTTAGTGATTTTGCGAAATGCCTAAACATTCAGGCAAAGTGAGAATTCTCGGTTATTTTCCACAGATTGCACGTACAGCTGTGCCAAACGTAAAACCGTAGCGTTAGTACCTTCCCCCATTTGGTATATTCTCCACAGTAAATCCAAAGCGTGACTCAACAGAAAACCCATAGAAGAAATGCAGTCTAAACGTGAGCGCAATATTTAGCGAGTACTTAAATTAAATCACAATCGTCGCGTCGTTTACCATCCAATGGCAACGCTGTATGCACAATCTGTGGAAAATGACGAAGCCTTCGCACTTTGCCTGCATGTTTAGGCATTTCGCGAAATCCCTAAAGACAGGCAGGCAAAGTGGCGTTTCTTACTTTGCCTGTTGCATTCGTCATTTCGCGAAATGCCTAGCCATTTTGCAAAATGCCGGATTTCGCAGTTTGCCGGTAACATATACAAATAACATAGGTATAAAAAAACAAATAAAAATAGATGACTAAAAAGTGCACACAGGTAAATATTCCCTAAAGTACTATTAACAAACAATTAAATAAATAAATATCATTAATATTATTGGAGTTTTCCAGGGTGTATGTAAATATTCAGTGATGCTTTAACTTTAACTATTTTAAGTTTGTTTCTCGAGTTGTTTGCATATATTATTATTGCTCTTCTAGTATAAAAACAGTCACGTCAATCATCGCCGATAGCCGCCCACTGCAAAACTGGTCGCCTGTGAGGTGTCACAAATTATGATATTATACAGGGTGTTTCGAAATTCGCGCACACGGACTGTGGGATGGTGTTATACAACGAAAACTGAATAAAAAGTTCTTGTACCAGTTTTGATCAGACCTGCACTTTTTTTTTTCGGCGTGCTGAAGCTTGTTTACTAGCAGGCAGCCGGCATTTTGAACAACTGTTATAATTACGTACTCGTCATAATTATAGTTCATTTTGAACCTTCTTTTGTTTTTAAAAATGGGTTATTATTAAGTTTAACCAGTGGCGCAGCGTAGGAGGGGCGGAGATTTTTAAAACCGCGGTAGCTCGAAAAATAGCGGTCTGGTGGAAAACTGGTAGAGGAAGTTTTTGTTCAGTTTTTGTCGTATAACACCATCCCATAGTCCGTGTGCGCGAATTTCGAAACACCCTGTATATTCATCTCTATACATAATATATAGTTTGCTATATTTGATTCAAGTTAGATTTTATATCCTGATTTTGATGCTAGGCATTATTTTTTTTAGTATTTCATTGCTTAAGTTATTATTATTGTGGGTGACATTGTTAAACAAAATTCAACAATCAAGTGGACTTACCTGTGAAGTTCGACCATGATTGCATGAGATATCCCGACCAAAGATATTATTTACTACATAGATGTTTGTGCGCGACAAAAGGAAGGGAACGAAGAACTGTGAGAGAAAAAGAAGTAGTTGCTGTTGTGGGTACTCACAAAGTGCCACTGTACGCTACGCCAGGTTTACATCTTATGCCCTAGTCACATTGTTAAGCTGTCGACAATGAAATTGTCACTTTCTTCATGGCTATTCCTGTATCTTTTTTTTGTTAGCGCATTTTCCAATTCATGTTGGAAGGCGCTATTATGACCACTTTTTCTGTCCGTCCGTCTGAGGACTTCATTAACCAACCCTACAGTTTTCAAGATATTTAGTTCGTTCTTTTTGTTTTCGGTAGCTTATAGCTCTGGCACCTGAGTCAAACAACATTTTGACGATTAATAATAATAATAATACGATTTATTGCCCAACAGAATAAAATTCCAATTATAGGAAAATTAATAATCTAAAAAAGCACAATAACTAAATATACTAATACGCCAGAGCTGTCACAAATCGTTTAAAAAACGATTTAAATCAAAGATCAAAGATGCATTTCATTTTAACAAATGATAATAAATCATTTTGAGATTTAAATATTTTTTGTGATTTAAATCTTTTTAGAAAGTATTTAAGATACTTTCAATGTATTTAATTCATTCAAAAAGGTTTAAATCTAATTTTCTTAATTTAAAGCACGTATAAAGATTTAAATCATGTAATGATGTAATGATTTAAAGGCTCCGTTAACTTAGCACCACCATTTCAAATTTTTGACTAAAGACAGATTGCGCTAAAATCTCTATGGCTAGCGCCAGCTAGCGCCACTTTGAGTTCAGCTAGCGCCATTATAGATTTTGCAAAAAAGCTCTTGACTTTCGGGGGGTGCTATGTTAACGCTAGCACCACCATTGCGTCCGATCACTTCCAAAAGCAAGCGCTGTGTTCGTCAGACCTAGCGCCAGCTAGCGCCACAAATTTTAGAGCTAGCGCCACCCCCCAATAGTGCAGGGGGCAATTTTTCCTAGCACCACCATTTTGTTTTTTCGGGTAAAATTTTGACGTTTTGTGTTCTGCTGACCTAGCGCCAGCTAGCGCCACAAATTTTAGAGCTGTCATCAGCCTCCAATAGTGTGGGGGGAGGGGGCACCACCATTTTGTCTTTTCGGGTAAAAATTTGATGTTTTCTGTTCTGTAGACCTAGCGCTCAAGTTAACCTAGCGCAATTATAAATTTTGCAAAAAGCCTTTAACTTTTGGGGGTGGTTTATTAGCCTCTAACACCACCATTGTGTTCGATGACTACCAAAAGCAAGCGCTGCGCTGTGTTCTTTAAACGTAGCGCAGAGCTGGCGCCCAATCCCCAACATTGTGGGAGTCCTTTTTTTTTATAATATCACCGGTTTGTTTTTTCGTGTACAATTTTGCTATTTTGTGTTTTGCTGACATCTCCCAGATAGAGTCAAAATCTTAAGAGTAGGCGCCACACCCAAGTAGTCTGGGACAGTTTTTCCTAGCTTTATGACTTGGCACCACTGAAATATTTTGGATTAATTTTCTAGTAAAACGAGTGGTATGGTAGCTGAATCTGCGGCAAGTATTAAAATAAGGAAATACAGTTCAATTATTATAGAACAGAACCATATTTTTATACCTTTCGCAGTAGAGACATTGGGACCTTGGTGTAGAGAAGCTCGAAAATTTTGTAGAATACCTGGGAAAACGCATTACCAATATTACTGGGGAACCCCGAGCTACCACTTACTTACGACAAATTTAAGTATTGCCATACAACGTGCAGGTAACGCGGCCAGTCAGTGTAATGGGGACCACGATCCCCATGGAAGAAAATTATCATTTATTAACGAGCTCCTAGCGAGTTTATAATTTTGCGGTGCCTGTCCGTCTGTTAGCACGATATCTCGATAACGAATGGAGCGATTACGATAAAATTTTGTTACCACCTTCTCAAGGGGGGCCATTTTTTCAAGAGACTTCCACTATGAGGGACAGTAATTCCTGGGGAGTTGCAGGATGTGTTGTTATTGCTCTCAGGTGTTCGACAATCTTGCATTCCCACTTCATCGGGTTCTTCTTCTCATGCAGCCACTGCTGCACCTGATGGTAAGTTCTAAATGAATGTTCTACCTGGTAGCTGCTGAAGTGGGGAGAAGCGCAGCCAACTTGAACAGTGAATGTATAGGATGCTTTGAAATAGCTTGCAAGTAACACTGGTAACGAAAACAAGCCAGATCTTCAGTGTTCTTTACTTCAAACATGATTTCATTTTTCCAGAAAATCGAAAAAATACGAAAAATGCCTACT